TTCTCCGGGAGCTCTGGCACCTGCCATGCCCACCATGCCTGGATACCATCCTGTTCCATCCAGGCTTGCCCCTCAGCAACTCTATTTTGGACAGGGTGTTTCCAGCCTCATTCCTTCTCAGCCTGCAGGCTACGGATACCAACCGCAACTTATTCCAGGCATTCGCCCAGGTGTTGTTCCAAACTACATGATGCCTTACAGTCCACAAAGGCAAGGGCAGCTTGGACAGAGAACAGGGTCTAGACGAGGAGGTGGGACACCACAGTTAATGCAACAGCAACAACAAGTAAGCTTTCATTCTGGCAAATGTTGTTACTTTTGTTTAAATACATTCACTAATGTTTTTCTCACATATTATATGAACTTGTGACTTAGTACAACTAGTTGGAAATCTCTCAAATGTCTAATTTAATCTTTAATCTTTACATAAGATGCCAGCTGGGCTTCTGGTTTCTTTGAACTTCTTGCAACTTGCTGGTCCATTCTTACTGCTGATGAAAATGTTCAAATCATTTACCAATTTAGATTGATATCCTGATGTTTCTACTCAACATACATGTTCCCTGAGTTATTCATGACTCGTTACTCTGTCATTCTGATGTGCTTTGGTTCAGTTTTTCCTTTGAGGTCCTAATATAATAAAATTCTCTTTATTCAGGTTTTTCTTTATACGGCACACTCCCTGTCATTCTGAGGGCGTGCTTTATAATTGTCCCAGAGATCTTTTATACATTTTTTGCTTCAAACCTGGTGCAGAATTCTATTTATATACCACAAGTTGGAATAACATTACACTTCTATATTTTCAGAGCCCAACCTACACCAATCTGCTAATACTTGCTGAGTGAATTGAGGGAAACAATTGCCATTGCATATTTCATTTAATTGATCTCATACTTGAATCTTCTAAAATTATTATTTCTGAAGTTAAAGTGCAAGCAATTTGTGAAGTCCTTTGATCATCAGGTTCTCACTTATGATTTATCTTCTAAAATTATTATTTCTGAAGTTAAAGTGCATGCAATTTGTTAAGTCCTTTGATCATCAGGTTCTCACTTATGATTTTAAGCCTAGCTTAACATTAGTATAATGTGTACTTTCTGGTTAAAAAAGTTTGTCGTTTCTTAGGATCTTAGTTAAAATTCCTAAGCCTAACTCGATTAACATTGTTATTCTTTCTGGTTCAAAAAGTTTGTTGTTTCTTAGGATCTTAGTTAAAATTTCTAAGCCTAACTCGATTAGCATTATTATTCTTTCTGGTTCAGAAAGTTGTAGTCATTTCTTTGGATTTTTGATATAATTCACCAAGAATGCTTGTATTGTTGAATGATCACAAAGTTTTGTTTAGAGCTCCATAATTCTATAATCTTTCTGGTACCATTGGTACTTATTTCATTTTGCAACAGATGTTTTTTTACTTGATTTATTTTAGAGTTATCTTGCTAATGTTATGCTTATGTCTACAAACGGAACCAATATTTATCATCACCAAAATGGCACTATCTTTCTTTGTTGATGAAGCTTCTTTTTACTGCATTGTCATGACCTTTGACTGTTCATGTTCAGATAATTCAGCAGAATGCTAATCAAGGCTTTAGATACATGCAAAATTCTCGAAATGGGGTTGACCCGATGATGTCGCCTCAGGGTCTGATGGGTTCGATGATGCCCATGCCACTTGATGCAAGTGGTATTCATATCACTTCAGTGGACGCAGTACATCCTTCTCCAATTCCAATTATGACTCTTGCCTCTGCTTTAGCTTCTGAATCTCCTGAGCGTCAAAGACTGGTAAGAATGTTTTGATTGGCAAACATGCTGCTAGATGTTAAGCTTTCAGAAACATAGTATGACAATGCATCAGTTAATTTTGGGTGAGGTCAAATGTCATTTCTATTATATTGCTAATTCTTTGATGATACCTTGGCATTAGTTTGGGCATGCAATGTAATCATGCAGGCACCTCAAGATATCCTTTTCCTCTCTTTGAACATTTTGCTTTACCTTCCATCCATCTTTTGTTGCTATTTTCTTTTGATTTCAGAGTTATGTTTTGATCAACAATGAAATAAATTGGTTCTAGAGTCATGTGCCATATAGATCTTAATGTTCAATATGGATCTATGTACCTTGGTTACTATATATAGTGTCATATCATGCCACATGCAAAAGCACTAGTTGACCTAATTAATTATGCAGGGAGTCTATAGAAACCCTTGACCACACATTGAACTTATATGATAGTTTGCTTCACAGATTCTTCTATGTAGTATTTGCACCTAATCCTTTTCGAGTATTACTGGATTTCAATGCCTCCATTCACTTCTTCAGTTTTCCAATTAATAGCTCTCTTCCGACCTCTGAATAATTATTCTTGTACCCAAGGAATAATTTTACTGTTGCTGTGGTTAATCTATCAAGTGCTAAGTTGATAGATTGGTGGTGCTGATCTCTGGAATTTGTCCTTAAGATGCTAGGAGAGCAACTATACCCCCTTGTGGAACGAATAGAACAGGAGCAAGCTGGCAAAGTGACCGGGATGCTGCTTGAGATGGATCAAACTGAGGTGCTACATCTTATTGAATCTCCAGATGCACTTAAGAAAAAGGTGGTGGAAGCCATGGAAGTCTTACACTTAGCGCATGCTACTGGTCCAAATGCTCTTGATCAAATCGACTAGGTAACCTAAATTAACATTTATTTCACCATAATTGTGTGATTGAGATATTTCATATCGTTCTTGGCTCCACATTTGAACCTGGATTGTCATTTTTCCATTTTTGGGATATTTGGCATGACCGAGGAAAGAGAGTTTATGTACCTAACGGATATTTTTCTGGATTTTTTACTTTTGGACAAAAGTGGCCTACAGGGTTTTAGGTTTTAGGAATTATTTGTTTATAATAATGCTAGTACTTTTAAATGATTCTACATTGGCCATTGTAATGATTCATTGTTTATTGGTATTGGACCTGCTGAAGCATGTTTAAGATCAACAGACTTCATTTCCCAATCACATGTGAAGGTCTTCCTGCCAGTGGCATATGCAAAGAGTGTGTGTGTGTGTGTGTGTGTGTGAGAGAGAGAGAGAGAGAGAGAGAGAGAGAGGATGATGAGATGATAAGTGGAAGGAAAAACAAACAAGAAAAGAAAGTGAAATTTTAAAATAAAATGCTACATGTTTCGTATTATATTTCTTAAATCTATGGTTCAGTTATTTAGTTCGGCCAATTGTGCTTGAGGAAAGACTTGTTTGCATGCAATCAAAATAACCTTATCAGAAATATATTGTTAGGGAATGTTCGGATATGTGCATTGGTAATGTGAAAAGATGCTTCAGCTATGAAGGCCATATCAAGTGCATCAAATGCCCTGGTTAAGATGTTTTGATCGGAGCCTGAGTCGATGAGTTTGATTTTAGTCTTGAACTTAAGTACAAAGCGAATCGAAGTATTCGAGAGAAAAGAGGAAGAGGTTGTGAACATTAGCAAGATATATTTTTTAGCTACAAAAGCCACACTATGCAAGTCCCATGCTTTGCAAAAAGTCATGTTGAGCACTTTGCATGCTATCTCTAATACATGAAGAGATGTTTCAATCATGAAGGCCGTATTAGACGCTTTAATTGATTAGGTCACACCATGTGCTAGGAGGTACTTCGGTTGTGATCTTGCGTCTTCCTCCATGGCAGCCTCATCATGCCTTGGATGCTCCTCTGTGGTGATCTTGTGTCTTTCCTCCATCGTGTAATCGACTTGGTGCAAGTAAGGCAATCTGCTTGGATCGTGCAATGATCGGCTTTATTAGATGCAGTGGCGTTGATGGCATGATCAACATGAGGGTGCAGTGGACTCGAGAAAAGGGGGTTACAGTAATGTGAGAACATATAATCAACTTGAGAATGAACGGTCGACTTGAAGGCACAACCAAAATAAGCACATGGCTGACTGCCTTGAAAGCACGACCAACGTGAAGAAATGGCCAGCATAGAAGAACACAATCAATGTGAAATACGACTGACATAAGGATGTGACTGTCTTGATAACACGAACGATCAACTTGAAGATGCAATTGACTTGAGTCAGACATGTCCAATGTGATCAAGTTATGACCCAACATAGAACACAACCAATTCAAAATACGACTGACATTAGGCTGTGACTACCGTGGTATCAAGAACAAGTCAGATGCAAAGGACATGAGTCAGACATGTCCAATGTTTTAATTGGTGATGATGGATGACGGCTCTATATCTACATCGATATAATTGTCGAGTGACGAAAAGACTACTCGGTATTTATATCAGCACAAACGCAAATATAGAGCGATGAAAAAACTACTAATACAAATACCGAACGACCCTTTCACAACTCGATAACTACATCTGTGTTGATACAAATATAGAGCAGCAGCTCTTACTTCTTATCGTCACTCTCCTCATCCACAACCTTAACGACAGTATCGCTCACCACCATCGATTGAAACATTAAAATTATCTATTTATCTTTTATTTTTTATATTTTCGTTGATGAAACCGATAACATTACGTAAATATTTTACTTTCGTAATTATAAAAATACCACTTTTTAAAGTGTAAAACTCGGTTAACTATAAGGGATAATCTTAACCCTCAAATTGACAATAATTATTTTAAAAGTGTAAGCACAACCGACTTGAGGATGTAGCCACCTTAACATCATGATATCCATCTTGAAGATGAGGCCAATCTGAAAAAGCAATCAATAGACCATCTTGATGGCACGATTGACTTGACTTGACTTGACGATAATTGTGTTATTCACCATCCAACAATCCCAACGATTAATCATGCTCACAAGACAACAAACATATTTACAAGAACAAAAGTATTGATAATGAAATTCGAACATTACATGTACATTTTTTTTTCTTTTTTCTCCTCCAAAATGTGCAATAGAAACTATTGCTAAAAAGTTATGAATAATAAATCAGGAACAAAATTAAAACATTCAGACAGAAAATGTTGCTCCACTATAGCAAGTAATAACCTGCGATTAAAAGAGAAGAAAGATCGGGTTGTAACTAACAACAAACATTAGTATTTATCAGACATAGTAATCTACCTTCTGCCTCTTTAACCATATTCAAATACAGATATAACATTGGCAGGTCCAATTACCCTTTCTGCGTCATTCGCCTCAGATGGCCGCTTTTCCTAGTCCTTTGCTTTGCCAAATGTTTATATAACCACATAGCTGACATTTTACAGAAAGGGTAAGGCTTACATCTGGCCCCTCTCATAAACTTCGTCGACAAAGATGGCATGCTCTTTCCAGGGACTGTTCTCCTCGATAACTTATTGTTAGCAGAGTTACATTTCTTGACAAATAATGCAATAAAGAACCCTTCCGTGTCTTCTGCTGGATCAGTCCTAAGCAAGTGTTCAGCTGAGACCAAAACAAAAAAAGAAGCATTTTAAGCATAATATCATAATGACATGATTCAAAAGACCTAAAAAACTTGATGAGAGCTTCCTTGTTGGTGTACTGTACTCACCACCTTCAAAGACTGGCCGGCCACGGTGAGGCCACAGTGGGAAAGGAGTTGCAAGTTCAAAGTTGAGCGAGGTTGCAAGAGGGAGGACTGATTTAATTACATCCTCATTCTCGGTTTGATGAACTGAGCATGTGCTATACACAACACGTTCAACTGCAGGAACTGTGAAAGAGAAAGTAAGCTGGTCTCTCAACCAATAGGGAAAATAATGATCCTACTGGAAAAAGAAATTGCCAAAAAATAATCAATATGAAATTCTGATATTTATTCACATAAATAGTGACGATGCCTAAGGTAACCTCATTTAACTGGTGGTTTTATAGTATCTCCTTCCAATAAAATCAAGCAGTACAGCCACAAAATCTTCAAAGTAATATTCTCAGAAAAGTTATTATGTCCTTAATGAAATCAATCAAGCTGCAAACATGCTTGCAGTTGGTTATTCCATCACTTCTACAGTCCTGCATATCAAAGTGCTTCCAACGACACAAGCAAAATCGTAATCATTTTGTCAAATGCCAGAAACACTACACTGACAAGGATGAAATTTGCAGATCTTACAAAGAATATAGAGTATGATAAAAATGCAGTTAACATATTGTGGAGGATCCATACAAAAAACCCTTGAAGCTTGAACTGAATAAGAAGACAAAATCTGCATTGACGATTATATAAGCTCATATCTGACTATGATCCCTTCAAATCCAACCAAGATCCTTGTTGATTAGATCCGATCAAGATTTCTTAAATCTAGTCTATGTCGGTGTCAATCCAGTCAAACTGCATAGTTATTAAATAAAAACCAATGAAGTACATTCAGTATCGTACAATAATATTTGAATCCTTGGTTATCTCAAACTATACATGGAAATTTCAAACCTTGGATCAACCATAAGGGTAGTGATTTGCTTTGTCTTTAAGATAGGACAAATTAGGAGCTATTATTTCACCATACAAATTTTTTGTTCTCATGAATTTACAAGGATCATTGTGTGTGTGTGTGTATATATATATATCATCTGGTAGGGGCTTCCAGACCCCTATTACAGAATTTTGAAGCATCCAGATCAACTACAAAAATTTCAAGACCCTATCATCTTACAGTCCCCTATTCTAAACATGGCAAATACTACTATTACTATTAGGTGTTCAAAACAGTGATGATGAGGAAATGCTAGAAATATAGATGCATTTTAGAATGATATGATGGGTGACAGAATCCAAAGACTATGATTTAATAAAAGAAAAAAAGCAAAAGATTCAACTTTATGTTTTTGTTGAAGCAACATACAAGACAGTGCATGCAAAAGAGCCTTTCTTTGAAAAGCAGCGAGCTTTTTTACTCTCTCACTGTTGCAAGCATCAGCATCATCACCTAATTAACAATAAAAAAAAAATCTGACAAACACCACATATAGAAAAAATATAAATCAATGTGTAAAAGTAAAAAAAATGTAAAGAATATAAGCTTGGTTCCTGCTGATAATCCACCACAAGAGTAAAAGTACACTCAATCATTTCTTCCGTTTTAATTCCCGCTTCGAGATTAAGACAATGAAACAAACTCTAGCATAAAATAATAAATGACAATGACAGTCAAGAAGACTCAATATTTACTTCCATGAGTTACAGGAACTTCTCCTGACAGTTAGACAAGGCATTGGTATTTTTTTCCTACTGGTGCTGAAGCACTCATCTTGGTTCATGGTGGTCTCTATTATCTTTGTACTTTGGGATTTGTGAGAGGAAGCTCAGTGGAGTACCAGACGGACAACAAAAACTTCATCTTTTATAATCTTCTGCATATTCTCCTTCTGTAATTGGATTATTGGCAGTAAGTGGTTTTTGAACAAAAACCTATTCTAGGTTGAAATATAAATGGAGATCAGGCAGGGTCTTCTTTGCAATAAACCCCTCAAGGAGAGGGGTTATATATAAAAATCCTGAAAAAATGTTATACTCATAATATTGTTACTGTTTGTTTAATGTTTATTTTTTTTAATTAAGGTAAACAACCTTAGGACTATATACATATTTCTGTACATTATGGATGACAAAGACTTCTATAAAATAAGATCCAAAATAATTAAGTTATTTATAAATTAAACAATTTAAATCTTAAATTTAGAATAGGACTAATTCTGGCTTTTAGCTTTAGACTAATTCTGGTTTCCATGTATTGAGGTTTCCACATGAATTTACTGCTAACATATCCTGGAACTTGACATCTAATAGTAATTTCCTTAATAAAAAGTAGTATAATGTAGACTTACGATGCATGCAATTCTGTGAACCAAAATAACCACAATTAGGATTCCTAAACATGAAAGGGAAGCTTAAGGTTGTGAAGATATACTAAAAAGAGGTAAATGTTACATAAATTCCTCATTTTCAGTTGAGGTAATTTTCACATAATTTTGCAAATTTTCAAGTGCATTGAGAAAACAAACAAGAATCTTTACAATCAATGATGCAATTCAACTCCCTATGTTGAAAATATTGCCCTATTAATGGTTACCTTTTTTGTATGATGGAAGAAGGTAATCTAATCTTTCAGCTGAAATTCCAGATCCAGAGCATGAAGGATCCAACAGAATAGCGTGAACCTGGATACACCACCACCAAATATACAAAATTGTATTGTATGAAACAACTTTTGGTATATTGATATTTTGTAACTAAGTTGATCATATGGTTTAGTTTGGCCAGCTTTGACCAGGATGGACTGAATAAGGGTGATCCAAATTTAATGAACTAAACATCTTAGCCAAGGTTGTAATAAGTGAGTCATAAATGCTATCTTTGGGATTTAAGTCTGGATGAACTACTTTGTTCTCATTTGATACATGACTATATGATTTCCCCCAAAAAGCAAATAAAAAACCTGAGAAATTTCAATTACCTGAAACCATTAAATAACCTAAGTGATACTAGAAAAAGTTTTCAAGTACCTCTTTGAACACAGGGTCACTGGTATTTATGTCCAAAAAGTCGCCATTAACAATGTCCACATCTTTGGATCAAGTTAAGGAATAACAATTAGGCCTTTTGCAACAATAGTCAAATTGAATTATATATAATCATGTATTTTATAACATAAATAACATACCAATGTTTAAGTAATTTTTCAAGTTAAATGCTGCAGATCAAACACTAATGACTCATCGGACAAAAGAAAGTATCAATCCTTGAGGAAAAAAACAAGAAACTTGAGCAATACTTTGAATCTATGAGATTGACATCCTTACTCAGAACATGAAATTAGTAATGTCATTTCTTCAATGCATTATTCAATGCACTTGTGCTACCACAGTGCTACATATAGAATAGATCAATAATTTAAGCAATAACTACAATACGAAGCACATATTAGTTTGACGAAATCTATATTTTCTTAGGAGCCTATGAATGACAAAATGTTCATTGAACTTTTATGTCTTTTGTTTTGGCCAGTCTCATGGCTGGCTTGTAGAAACAAATACTTCTCCCACCTGCCACTGTGATTGTATACACATCAGAGGGAAAAAACAGTTTAGGATCTTGAGAGGAATGAAGAGGAGCCAAAGAGGGGTTTAAAAAGACTCCCAAATTCCCTTAAATGAGTCTTCAGAGAATCCGATAACCAATGGTAGGCATAGCACCTGGCAGATAGGCTCCAACAATAAAAATTCAGGTGGTATGCCCAATATGATAAGAATATCAGACGGTACCCCTAATTTCAATCTGGACCAAGCAGATTTGCATGGTCTGCAGGCCAAAACCTGATCAAACAGGTAAATAATGGTCGGTATGTACCTGTCTGATTGGTGTTATGAACAATGCTAAACTCTTTGGTACTTTGAAGATAGAGATTATTATACACCTAGTATCCATTACATGTGCAGTGGCAGCACCATATAATCATGCACAAGACAGAGTACACTAACATGCAGCCTGTTATTGACACTATGGTATCAGCTCAACATGCTAAACTCAACACCTGATACTCCAAAAGTTCCTAGTACCTTAAAATATATAATAAAGAGTGTCAGCTGAAATCCAAAGGTAAATTTGCACAAAATACATATGAAAAGAAATGCCCCTGAAACAAATAAGAAGTAGAAGAATATATATGCCAAAAAAGATAGTGAGTCGCAAAATAACTCATATCCAACTTCAGACCTTTTTTTAGTAACCTACACAACATCAATTGCACAGGAATTTTTTAAAAAATACATGTCAATTTGGCAGGAGGATACATCCGAGGAAATAAGGAGCATAAAGATAAGAGAGTAAAATTGTTCTTCAAATTATTTTTGAAAGAAATGCATGAGTTAAAGGATACTAGGTGCTCCAGACCGTCGAATAGTCTTTTCTAAAATTCTAACCCTTTCCGCATTAAACTCACAAGCTATAATTTTACCCTTTCCCCTCATAAGTGCAGCAAGATGGACAGTTTTGTTTCCTGGAGCCGCACAAGCATCAAGAACCTTCATAAAGCATAACATAATGTATTATAAATATGTATAATTTTATAACAAACAGAAGTAGCAAGAATATCAATAATGTCATATAAAAAGCATATCATCTCCCAGTCATTGCTGTAATCAGCATACGGTTCCTTGTAAATAAAGAATAAAATGATATCCTCTAAATTTAGAAAAATGGACCACAAAAGAGGAGGTCTTGGCACTGATCAAATGGCTTAATAAAATGCACTGTGTTGATTGAATATCTGACATGTAAAACTATACTCCAACCAAAAAAAATCATAAACACTTCTAAACCAAAAGAATGTCTTAGAAAAGAACTGGACTAGAAAAATAACATCAATTGCACTTGTTGGAACAATGTTTAAATGAAAATCGCATAATCTTTTGAAATAAGCATTTCATGAGTATCTCCCAAGTTTTCCTTCTCTGAAGAAATGAGTGACACTAAATTTCCTATGTATCAGATATATCATTGCCACAATGATGGGAAAAAAAATCTGGATATGGCAATCAGTGGATAATGAATAAAACCAATAACATATATTGCACTTTGATGTTCAAATGACAAGTCAATTATTTAAATGATAAAAGTCAAAGATACTAAATTTTCCCAAGTTACTAAAAGTATCTTTCCCAACTTTTCTTTTTCCGCAGAAATGAATGACACCAAATTTCCTACGTATCACATCTATCATTGCCACAATGATAGGAAAATGAATCTCAATATGACAATCAGTGAATGACAAATAAAAACAAAAACATCACTTTGAAGTTCAAATGACAAGTCAATTATTTAAATGATAAAAATCAAAGATATAAACAAAAAGACTCTAACACAAAATTATAGAAATAAAATGGCTTCTAAATTTCTTTTATTTTCTCTCTTTGAAGTCAGTGACCATGTTTCTAATCATTTCAAAGAAATGGAGGGAGAAAATCCAATCATGATATGGTATTTCAACGTGAGTAATGCAATTAAACAGATCAATATGAATGCTTGAACTAGAGTATACTAAGAAGTAAGAATACCTTCCAACCTGGTTTAGGACTTAATGCAATAGCCACCATTGAACTTGCTTTGCCCTGAAAACACATGAGAACAAACTTAAAAACAGTTAAAATAACAAACTTGAACTAATTGTGCTTCATTGATATGCTTATCTGTGCATCTACCTAATTCAGATGCATCAGCTAACGGATTCAAGATTGCATATACCAAGTGCATCAGACCAAAAACCAAGCATTTTTTTTTGGCAAAAAACATTAATGTTTTGACCATACAAGTTTGAACTGGATTTTACAAATATAACAGCTAAATGGTATATGGACCAGCAATTTCATCGAGTCTCGTCCGAAATCAAGCTCCCTGGATGGTAAGCTGACAAATACCGAGTTGTACAGTGCAGTAAGCCTATCACTTAATACTGATACTCATTGTACCTTGTTTTATTTCTTCTTCTTCACTCCACTCTACTGCCTTACTGCTGCCCAATGTGTAGCACTGGTTCGGCTTATTTTGTTTGGCAAGGATTTAAAATCTCGGTTGGGTGACAATTTCAATAATTTATCACACTGATGAGGAGTACAGTGTACAATTGCTTCAGGTATTACCCACAAATAAATAAATAAATATATATATATTTATTTATTTATTTATTTATTGGAACAAGACCATATGATCCTTAATCAGCCCATGGTAGCACCAGTAAATATATCGATATCATATTGTACTGGCTGGTATTTGAATCAATGTCCGCCTCCTACCACTGGTATGTGTCTTCTGCCTCCTCCTCCATGTTCTCCTCTACTAGTTTTCTTCTTCTTTGCCTCCTTTACCTCCCTATCCTCCTCTTCCTACCCTCGTCTGTACCTCCTCTCTGGGTCAGGTTATACACACATACCAAGAATCCATAAGTTATACCAAAACTATACCGATCTGGTTGCCATCCAGTATTGGCACCAGACCAAAACTTTAAACTGACTTGATTTGATTCTTCATCCAAATGGCTGCTAATACTCAGGGCTAGCATAATTAATGACTTCACATAGTTAATGATATACATTAATAGGTTGCAAACAAAAATTCTTCCCATAATACATATAATAGTTGGCTTCACATAGTTGCTATGTACCTTGATCCAATACACCTTAAATCATATTTTAAGATATACCCTATTTTTGTTTCAGTGTCAGTTCATCAAATTTCCATTATAATTAATCCAAGCAAATCATTAATTAGAAACATTAACAGGGATGAGATTTTTAATACAGAACACAAGCAACAAATAAGGTAAGAAGGTGACATAGTAAAAGATATTATCTAAACAGACCTACCTGCAGGAAGATACTTCCATTTAGAACCAAAGGATGATCATGCAAATCAATGCCAGATGGAAGAACTAACACATCCGGGATAGTGTCATCTCTTGAGACCTATTAAGAAACAAGTTCAATCACCATCAAAGTTTCTATGGATTCATTAAATGAAAGTGCAAAAAAGATAAAAGATAAAGATCCTAAACAAAGAATGTGATAGATGGCCGAATATTAACCATTACAAATCAGTTCAGTCACTGAAGAAAAGGCAAATTTTCACCCTTTATTGCTTGTAAAAGAGCTTCTTAGCCTTCTTTTTCTTTCAAAAATTATATAAAATTGCATTTCTTATCTTCATGTAGGATGTATAATATGATAAACTGACACAAAATTGCATAACCACTTCAGATCTAGGAATGTCAATGGGACGGGACAGGGGATGGGGAATGCTTCTCTCATCCCCATCACCGTCTCATCCCTCATCTCCACCCCATTCCCCATTTAGACAAGGCAAATATGGGGAATCCCCATTAGGTGCAAGAGAACCCGTGGATTCTCCATATTCTCCTAATTAATCCATTTCATTTAAAAAAAATAAAACTATTATTAAGATTAATTAACAATACTCAAATTTCCAAATAATAACAACAATATTTGTAAAGTTTACACATCATAACAATATTCAAATACAAATATATCCAAATATAACCACAACCAAATAAATACAAAATGAGAAAATATATTAACAATTTTCTCCATTAAAAATATATCCAAATAAATTTACAAATTAACAATTTTCTCCATTAATCCCACTTTTCCAATTTCCATGCTCACATATCCATGCAAGATAGATCCTACATAAATAAAAAAAAATGTATAATGTGTCAAACAATAAAAACTTAAAAATAAACAGTATTATTAAAATTAAAATACATATCAATTACCTCACAATTATCTTTAGCCTCCTCCAAGAATGAGCAATGTGTTGAATATGATATTAAACATTAATTTGAGATGTGAACTCTTGAGAGAGTGTTACGATCCCTTTTAGGCAAGACATATGGGTATTCACCGAATGTTAGCTCTCGTGGAGAGAACCTTCTATTGGCTAAAGATGGGGACTGATATGGAGGAATATGTTCGAACATGCCATACTTGCTAATAAGATAAGGTAGAGCAGGAGAAGCCGATAGGACTTTTAGAGTCATTGCCCATACCAAGGTCCGCAATACCGTACCGTACAGGAGTTTCGACCTGGGCTCGGTACCGGTACGGTACGGTATACCGAGCGGTACACCCAGGTGTACCGCTCGGTATATTTAGTGCTACAGTGCTACATTGCTGCTACAGTGTCGAACCGGTAACAGATGGTCCGCGTACCGGAAGCCTATCGGACCGGTACGTACCGCCCGTACCGGGCGGTACGGTCCGATACTGCAGACCATGGCCCATACTAAAAAGGTCGTAAGAGAGCATTTCCTTGGATTTCATATTAAGCTTACGATAGTAGGGGGACTTGGATCGATACTCATGGTAGTCGATCGATTTTCAAAATACGCAACATACATTGTTGCACCCCTACATTGCTCAGTGGAGAATGCGGCCACCTTGATGTGAAGAATGTTATGAAGTAGTAGGAAGTTCCACATAATATCATCGACGATTAAGACATGCGGTTCTTGGGACGGTTTTGGATCGAACTGTTCAAATTGCTAGGATCTAAGCTATACTTCTCCACAAGCCTCCACACTCAAACAAATGGTCAAACTGAAAGAATAAATTCGCTCCTTGAGCAATATCTTCGACACTACATGAGTGCTAACCAACAAGATTATGTGAAGTTGTTGGACATAGCCCAATTCTGCATGAGTGTTACAACAGAATTCTGCATCTAACAAAAGCCCCTTCAAGATCATTACTAGACAGCAGTTGCCAACTCACACCTTGGCGATCAATTATACTAGGAGTAGTTACTCTCTTTAGCATATCACTTTGCAAAGGAATGAAACCAAAACGCAGATATTGTTTGGGCTTACTTGAAGAAGGCAGCCAAAAAGTTGAAGTGGGCAGATCTAGGAAGACGACCATAGGAGTTTACAGTCGGCGACTTGGTGCTGATGAAGCTCCAACACATCACTTTAGTTTTTTAGGCATAAAGTGCACAAGGAACTAGTGTGCAAGTAAGAAGGACCCTTCCCAAATTATCAACAGGGTAGGCAATATCGCTTATAAGTTACAACTGCCAGCATAGCTCAAAATTCATAATGTCTTCCATGCGAGCAACTTGAAAAGCCTACCACTTAGATCCACAAGATGCTTCCTAACGAAGTCTTCCAACTCGATTGCCCCCAACTAGAGCCTCCTACAAAAAGTGAGTTGAAGATATTTTAGCGGATCACAAGACAAAGCTACCCAATGTAGCAAAGCAAATCGCATACTTAGTGTAGTGGCGAAAGATTCCCCGAACAAAAGGCAGTTAGGAGGCTGAAGACGCCCTGCGACATGAAGAAGCGATCATCAAGGCTTGCCGCAAGCGTCGACGAGGGTGTCAACAGTTTAAGTGAGGGAGAATGTAATTGACGATCGTCACGCAACACCTTCATGTTTGCTTGTACATATGTTTCGTAGTGTATTTTGCCTTGTTTTTTTGTGTTTTTGCTTAAAAACTGTGAGCAAGAACAGTTTGTAAGGCTACAAAGCGACCGCTCATTAGAATAGACAAAATTACCATAGAGTGACCCAGGTTTCGCGTGCAATGGTCTATTTTCTACAAGCTATGGTGTGGTGCAAAATGTCAAACATCTCAGCACCCTAGAACCAGTTGGGTGGCACAGGACTGGATAGGGGTTTGGGGTAGTGTTGGGCGTCGATTGGTTTCACAAGTTTGCACGTAAAGCCTATGAGAACTTGCCAACTTGCCCAACACCCGATGAGTAGTCGTCTGTGAACTTACGACTATTCATTTGCCTTATCAAGTCCTTGTTTTCTCTTTCCTCTATTTTCTCTCTTGCACAACAAGAGTTTCCTGAATTACTTGTAAAGCTGTCCTCTTTGCAAGACGTTGGGACTTGTCCATCATTCGTTTTTGAAACTAATCAATTTGCTCGTTTACAGGTTCTTCGGGGCCTAAACGAGGTTGCAATTAGGTTAACCCTTTGCGAATAAATAACGCAAGGGTGCCTCACGACTTAGGCAATTCCAGTCAAGGTCTGCCATACCGAAGCGTACCGCCCATACCGGGCAGTACGTACCGGTCCGACAGGTTATCGGTACGCGGACCGCCTGGTACCGCTACAGTGCTATAGTATTTTACTGTAGCACTATAGCAGTGCTAAGTACTATACTGTAGCACTGCTACAGTATAAAATATATATAATTGTTCGGTACACTACGGTGTACCGTTCGGTACGCCCTGATGTACCGCCTGGTACACCGGTACCGTACCGTACCGAGCCCGAGTCGAAACGCCGGTACGGTACGATACGACGAACCTTGATTCCAGCTAAGTCTGTGACAGTGCTGGGGAGGGGGGTGTTGATACTATTTCATTTGGTTCAATCGAACCAAATAACTCGTAATCGACTCAACCATGGCTAAACCCAACCTAATTTCAAGGCGCCTAGCTCGCCCAATATTTAGGCCCACATATTGATGGAGTGGGGACAGGAATGAGGACATGGTGGGGAGTGCTCTTGTAACATCTCGATTAGTCCCACATCGGAAGTGGGCAAGATTAAGATTGGATATAAAAGTTTGATGAGTGTACTACTATTAACTTCAGCTTAGGCATTTTGGCTAGTGGTTTGGGCCAAACCAAATTGATATGCCAATTAACCCATTAGGCTCGGGTCGTGACATTTAGTATCAAAATCGACCTAGTATTTGAGCATGGTGAGGGGGCTCAAGTAGGAAAGGGCTACCGGTGGATGGAGTCAAAAGACTCATCATGATGTGGAGCCACCATTGGGCAATGCCTCACATGCACCATGCTAGGGTTTGATTTTGGACTATATTGAACCTTGACGAGAACGTCAAGCTCTTGAGTGAGAGAGATTGTAACATCCCGGTTAGTCTCAATTAGCATTTTGGCAAGTGGTTTGGGTCAAACGAAGTTAATATAGGCCAGTTAGCCCATCAAGCCCGGGTCATGACAACTCTACCCATCCCCGCCCTATAATCACATGAAAAATAGAAAATGCCCCCCATCCATGCCCAACTAGTGGTAGGTCCCCATAAGTATAGGTACTCGCAAGCATAATTGACACCTCAATTCAGATCGGAGGATCTTCAAAAGAAAAAGATAGGCCCATCAAAATGTATATTCTAGAAAAGGAAAGGAAGGCACCTAGAAAGAAAACATAGAAACAAAAAGTTATTGAATTGAAATCATGGCAAGAAATTATATTGCACAAACATATATGATCCTTGATATCATTAGATCCCACAACCATGAGATATCTTGGAATACAACTCTATGAATGATGACGGAATGGAAAGATGATAAGAGAGCATCTGCCTATTTCCTTAAATGTCACTTATTTTCAGATAACTGACATAGTGTGTGCAAAATTTGATGATGGGCAAGCAGGCTCCCTGTTCCACATCCCTTTGATTATTTAGCATTGACAAGCAAAAGACATTGTCCATGCTCATGGCACGTATGTAATTCAAACAGCTCCAATAACCCATATTGCAGCTGCCCAAGACCTTGTCAAACAGAAGTGCTGGTTAGCTTGTCAAGAAACTTTCAGCAGTAAGTTGATTATCATTGAACATAAGGACAACCAATAGTTTGTCTCAGTATTGTGTTAGTGTCCATACATTATTTGATGAATAGTCTAGATTGTTCTTCACCAATGGTACAGAGAAACATATATATGGGAACTTGGGAATAACCCATTCATAGTTATCTATCGATTATAAATACAACTAATCTGCCACCAAAATTAATCATGCAACTAAGATGTTTTCAGCATAAAACTTGAGTAAATATTTTAGTCAAAAAATTTAATCATACTCTTAAATGTCACATAACTGTATAACTCATTCTCTCAAAAACTGCATTAATAGGTCTTAGCTGTGGGCAACTCTCAGTAGTTGCAGATTAGTTCAAGTAAACAGCAAATATTACAAATGGTTATAATTAAATATAATAAGAGAACTAAACCACAAGTTATCCACATCATGAGAAGCACAACTTCATCTTCATTAAAACAAATAAGATTCAAATGAGAAATACCGCAAAATTAGATTTCTCTAACTCTCGTATAACAGACTCTGCATCCACTTTGAGTGTATTGACACGTATATACCGAGGTTTAGTGACTGCAATAAAAAAAATGTTCAGCAAATAAATGATGAGAGATAGGAAGTGAGTAGAGCATGAATCTGACACTAGCATGATGAGAACTCAGAAGTGGATTTCAAACAGAAATCCACTTAAAACATATGCACGAAATGGGTTTTCTTGTCTTCTGACTGCAGAAAGTACATTTCTTACTATAATATATCCAGTAAGAACTGTCCAGCTTCATAATTTTGTCTTAATCTCAGGTGTCGTTGAGATAAAACACTAAAAAGAGGCATACATAACCATGTTGGACACCATAAAGAATTATTATGGAAAATGCTTTGGCTATCTACAATTTTCTCTACTTGCAAAAACATGTAACTCATGCTGCTTCTGAAAGAGAGTTTTTATGAATGTTAACATAGACATAGGTATGTGTAGTATGCTTAATTTAAATTGGATAGAGATAGAGAAAAGTATAAATCGTGTTTCTTGGTAACATCCACGTGTACTTCATTAGTAGAGAATAAGAGTTTAATGATATTTGAAAAGCTTGATACAGTAAGAAGATAATGGTGTTCGAGTAAAAAGAACTAACTTTTATCAGTAATTACACATAAAACACAATAGCAAAGAAAATTCTAGTCCATCCAGTATTTAAAACAAATATATATATCTTTTCCTGGATGTTAATTAGGCTAAGACTATGATTGGGAACACAATTGCATTTTTAATGTGCATTTAAAGAAAGAGGTCTGAGTGAATGTGCAATCCTCGAATGTTTTGAGTGGTTGGTAAACAATAAATGAAAATTATATTTTAAGTGTGCATTAACAAAGGTGTTGTTTGGTAAAATTGTATTTCAAAAGTACATTAAAAATTATTTTACCTTTATAATATTTTTAATATTATTTCAAAAATAAATATATTTTGTATTTAAATTAATAAAATAAAATAAATGAATGCACAATCTTATAAAAATTTCATATGACACAGATATATAATAAATAAAACAATATAATCATATAAATGAATGTAAAATAACCTTTGGAAATAAATAAATAAAATTATAGACTTGTGAGAGAAAGGGAAATGACAAAAATGGAGAGTTGAGATGAGGAAATGAGGGTTAGGGTTTTTATTATATAGTGACAATCTTGTGATTTTAGATAATGTCATAGGGTACTTCAAAAATTTTAAAAATTATACTAGTAGCAGTATCCCACAAATCCTGAAATCCTAACGCTATCCTGAGATTGTGTCAGCATTGAAGTATTTTCAATGCAACATACAAGTCAAATGCAATTTTAAAAATATTTACCAAACACCGATTCACATTTAAAATATTCATCTGGCCCTCAATGCACATCTCAAATATGTTCTCAAATGCACCCTTAGAAGAGAGTCCTACATCTTCTACATTAGTTTAATCACATGATAAAACATAGGCCCGGAAGCTAGCTACAATCATCACCCATGCACAAACACAGTTTTTTTTTCTGGTGAATGATAAGTCTCCATTGGTTCAAAGGACATCTGATACCATCTTAAGCATATTAAGTTGGCAATCAGATACAAAATTAGAATTATACTTCAATAATCTGCTTGGCTACTCTTCGAACAGCAGGCTCCCATAATTGAATCATAAATAAAGAACACAAAGTATGAACTTCAATTGCTAACTCATATATCACAAATAAGAAACTAGAAAGAATCAAATCACACCTCTAACATCATTCTTTTGGAGCATGTCTTCGATTTTCTTAACTTTATGTCTAGCAGAATTTCGTGCTAATGCAGTCTGAAGTGAATCTTTATGAAGTATAAGAAAATTCTCGACATCACCCATCACTGCAGTTTGCTGAAAGAAAACAATATATGAGGATGCAATATGTTATATCAACAAGACTCATACAGCTCATGCAAACACCTATAAAGTTTTGGATTTGAAGATTGCATAAAAATCACAATGTGAACAAGGGGCAAACAAAAAACGATGCAAGATTGTTAAAAGTTAAAACAATTTGTGCAAACAATTGCAGTACAAAAAGATTTGGTGAAATAGCTTACCTCAAAATATGCCATGGACCTTCTGGCATATAAACAAAATTAGTTAACATTAAATTTATCAGTGGCCTCTTATTTTAGGGGAAAAAATTGTATTTATGTATCAGCCTTGACAATAGTAAAGATATGTGCTGCCTACTTGGTCTCGTAAGGCTCATCTAATTCCAGATACAAGTAGGCACCAAAGTCAGTTCAAGAGACTTAAACTACAACATTCAGAAAAGAAAATCTTGAGAATCATTATCAACTAATCTCGTACGGATTGTTCTTCCTTTTCATAGATGCTTACTCGTAACATAGAAGACCAGAATGAAGTTTTTAGCAGTCAATGCAGCTTCTATAGAACAAAAATTCTAAGGTATACTATAAGCATGACAAGAAAGCGATCAATTGCAACAAATTATCTTTCAAAATTTAAATGAGAACAAGAAAATGATTAGAAACCATATGTTCATGCACATACCGGTTTGCTTAGATTCTCAGGAGAACTTAGTATAGCATTCAATAATAGCATTCGATATATCAATATCTTTCTTATGAATAATTCTAGAAAAAAAAGTTCTCTCAAAGCATAAATCTCAAATCAATATGACAGAGAAAGAACCTTCCAACCAAGGCTCATAATTTCCTATATTGATAGTGTGTTGGTCATGGCTCAGACTGGTACCAGAGCAGTATGTACAGGTGTACCCAGTTTCACTGGTACATATTTTCAAAAACAAAGAAAAAACAAAACATATTGGTTTGTACAAGGCTGCCTGCACTAGATGCACCTCCTGGCACAAGGCCTGTACCGGGTAGCATAGACCTTTTACCAGACTGCCTGATTAAGTGCACATGTCGATAAGTTGTTAAGCATGTAGATACCACTCATACCAAACTGTACCAAGCGGTGTTGCAAACCTTGCTTCCAACCTCTCCCTTAAATCTATTTGTTTTACCATTCTATAAATCTAACCTACCATGACTCAAAATGGTGTTTAGGCTCATTCCATATACATGTGTGCCAACTAAATATACTTTTCTTTTACCAAATAATAATTGGAGAAGCGCCACCATGGAGAACAAGACATCTACCAACATGTTACAGAATGTGTCAACCTAAAATCACCTCACAGAAGATGCTTGTGCTACAAGATGTGCAGCAAGTAACAAACATAGCATGAATTATCTTTTTGATGATCAACAGATTATTCTCAGGAAAGCAATATAAAGGTTGCCAACATGAAAAAAACCTTGATGTCTAAGTCACTAACCTGGCCAAAGAGAATATCATATGCAGTAACATATATTAGTTCCTCCTGCTTCTGTTTTTTTTGAAAAAAAAAGGGATACTAAACATTAGGATTATAAGATTGACAAGGTGGAATGTTGATAATTAATAAACAAACACTCAGGAAGTAGGCTAGAATAAGTGTACATTTCCATCACCTTCCACTTTCTATTCAGTATACTAGTTGCAGCTAAAACATCTTTAAGAATCGGAAGATCTGTTAACAGAAAAAGGAATTTTCAGAATTTTGTATTCATCATGTATGAAACCTAAACACAAACCAAAAAAGCAAGCATCATACAGGCAAAACAAGCATAACAGAAAGTAATTCAGAATCAGCAAAAGAGCATCTTTTATATAGCTGGGAACATCGTAAGCATTAAATTAGTTCAGCAAGTTTCAGATTATAATATTCTGCATTCATATATAGAAGGCCCCATCTCAAGCTTACATATTATAATATAAATCAGAAAATGGTGCATAACTGAACGCAAAAGACTGTAATAAAATTCAATAAGGGTTCCGTTTAGCAGCACAAGTGCATGTTTTAATAGCCCTTCTAGCTGAATCAGAAATACAACAGAGACCTCCTGCAGAAAGCCTGCGAAATAATGATAAAATCAAGAGTTTCTTTGCGTGATGTATTAGATCTCATAAAAGATCCTCTTGCTGTCTCATTCACTCTCAGTTGCCTCCCAAGAACCATTTATCGCTATCTCAAGGTAAAGCCTTCCATAGACCATAAGTTTGTCTAACTAAGTAATTGGACCTACCCTTCGCTCCCAACTCACCATTCTCATCGGGAAAGGGTGATCGATTTGGTCCTGATATAAGAATATACTTCCAGAAAACCAACCTAATTTGAAAAAACAAGCCTACATACACCTGACCAGCAATCACTGCCACTAGGTTACACCAACACGCTTTCTGATCCCAGACTCATTCAACCTAAAGTACCGTCCCAAGGAACCATATCAGGACAGAGAGACAGGGAAAGGAGCTGATGAAGACGTGTACACTTGAGGGTCTGGCAGACCAGGGCGAAGGTGGCCCTCTTATTGCGGACGGAGGGGGAGTAGACGAGGGACTTGATGGAGGCGGTGGCGCGGCGGGCATCGTCGCCTTGGAGCACGCGCCGCAGCACCCTCGCCGCCTCCCTCCTGGCGAAGTAGGCCGACCGCTCCGCCCCATTCTTGCTGCTCATCCGGCGGTTCTTGGTGAGACTCCCTTGCGGTGGAGGAGGAGGAGGGCGCGGCGACATGGTTCGCAGCGACGTCGCGGCCGCCACAACCGCCGCTCGAAGTCGCAGCGAAGTCAGGTGCTTGAAGAGAACGGCTTTATTGCTAATCCCCTAAAAGCCCATATAACCAAAGCCGTAATTCCTGGAAATCAATAAAAGCACACATAATAATGCAAAGAATTTAATACTATTAATTTAAGTTAGAGATAATTCTTTAAATAAAATTCAAGTATAAAAAAAATTCATATATTGGTCTCAGATTTGGACATTAGGGTTTCTTCTACTTGTCACTATATGATAAATAATACAGGACTAACATTTTAATTTGATCAAATATTATTGCACAAAAAAAAATAGTTCATAATATTGAAGAAAATTTAAATCATTTCTTTGTTGTTGTGTTGTCACATAAAAAAAAGAAAATTCTCCTAATTTAATTTTATTGCATAAAGAAGAAAATTTATATTTATTTCTTTGCTACCATATTATTGAGGAAAAAAAGAAAGTTTACATCATTTTATGGAAAAGCAAAAAACTTCATTTCATTTCTTCACTATCACATTGTGAAAAAAATAAATTATTTATTATCAAAATATTGTGAAAAAATAGATCATGTAAAAGAAAAAAAATTGTACCATATCTTTATTATCATATTATTTTATGAAAAAGATCGTTCACAGTATTTCTTTGGTAGAATGTTATTGTGAGAAAGAAAAAATCATATAATTTATTCGACATCAAGTTTTTGCATAAAAGAAGAAAATTACTATCATTTATTCATTATTTTATTATTACACAAACGATAATCTCTCGGTGTATATTAACCCTTCAATGAAATTTCAAATAAAAAAACGAGTCAAATACATCATCATTAAATTAATGTTTTAAATATAAAAATTATTATAATATTTTTGAACTCTTATATTACCGTCCGAAATATAATAAATCATAATTTTTTAAGGAATTCAACCAATACTGAAAGAAAAAAAAAAGGCAATCAATCAAAATAATAATACTTCATGTGTTTAGTAACATAAGAATATAATTTTAAAGATAGCATCAGCAAAAAATATTTGCCACATCTTCCTCAAAATGCAAACAAAAGGTCACCTATTAGGAAGAGAAAATTGATGTACTACAACAGTGGTAGAAGTAAAACTTAGAATGCCAGTGCAAGGACAGGTGCATTTAAAAGTGATACCATGACATCTTCCTTGTTCTTAGGATCATGTAGATATTTTTTTCCTTACATGAGACATGGATATGAGATATTGTAGGTGATTCATGTATATATAAACATAACTAGAAACTTTGGTAACATTTGAAACATGCAAAACAAAGGTAAACATGGAGTAAATTTTGGAATATAAAATTAAATTAACAGTATAAAAAATGTAAATTATACAGCTTCATGTTTGTCAACTTGAATTCAATAGGATGTCAAACATAAACATGTCAAGCAAGTTGAAGCATCCATACATCATCATTGCCATGTATGAGGCATAATCTGTTTACTCTATATAATGGTGTAAGGCATAATTCATGTCTGAATCATCCAAATATCTGTTTAGCATAGTTCAACATTTGTAGAGATGCAATTTCATAGAATCAACACCTAAAGTAGGCATAATCTCAAAAGCTGCACCCCTGAAGTCCTAAGGTTAGCCAAACATGCAAGTATAGTCACTTCAATACTTGATATTTGATGGAGAAATAAAGAGATATATAGATAAATATATGTGGGAAAAAAAGAGATGACAATCCTTTACTCAAGTAGAGAAATTACACTCTTTTGATGTAGTTTTCCTGAGTTGATACATAGAAAGTTTGAGTAGATAAGCAGCATATTTATCTCTCTTGCATGTAGTTTCCAGATTGAAGGAAAAGGCAAGCAGTACTCAGGAATAAAAGCTCTGCTATGTTAGGTTGTAGTAAGTAACAGGGCATTAAGTATTGGTAGTTGGCAGTGGAGCTGAGAGACCATACTCCAACATATTGTCAAAGGCAATTAAAAGTGAAGAGTAAAGAAGACAAATGAAGAGAATAGTGCTCCTCAGAAACCAACTTCTGCATCACAAGCTTGAATGTGTGTTTCCTCAACAATCACCTTCAGCTTGAAGTGCTCAGCTTTTGTTTCATATAAGTCTGCCTGCTCATTGTTAAACTATTGATGTCAAGGATGGAAGAGCCTCATGTTCAACAGAGATAACCAATTGTTAGCATTAAGACCACCCAGTTTCGAGAGTGAATTATGTCGGAAAGACGAAGAATTCCTCTACATAAACTGAGATGATGTGGTGGGAACAGTCTGGTTCTATTCAATTATGTAATAAATGATGGAAACAATATGTTGGTTGAGAGCTGACATATTTGAATCACTGCAGATATAGTGAGCTCATGAATTACAATTGATTGGCTTTTCTAAACTGTCAAAAAGGTTAATCTGAGACGTTCACAGTGAGTTACTAGACAGAAGTTGAAGGAGAATGGTTAAGAAGGCCTACTTGCCACACTATACAGTCTTTAGTAGCTCAATCTATTGAGTTCTGAACACTGCCAAAACCATGTATTAGCAGACAATGAGAGGAGCTGAGGCCTGCTTTCATCTACTTGCTTTCCTTTTCCTTTCAGATTTCATGATCAATTCCTCTGCTCTGGATCAGATACCACTGTTCTACAGCCAGATGGCCTGAGGAAGACGAGCAACGCTTGCTCTTCCTATATATACTTCGACTCAGGCTTCAGCAACTGATGCGAAGGCCTTTGAGAGCTGAAGCACCCTTGACAGTGCTGGAAAGCATCTGTCAGGGACTTCAATGGTGGTTGATCACCATAGTGCTGAAGAGTTTCCAACAATGCAGGGTTCTCTGCAGAAGAAGAGAAAGAGCAGAGATGTCATTTGCCAGAGTTCTGAGCAGTCCAATGAAGTAAAGGGAAATCGCAGAAAGTTCTCTTGAATGGTCTGTTCTGAATTACTCAAAGCTCTTTGTTTGACATGTCACTTTTTGTCATTAGGACACAGAGGAAAGAAAGGGCTGCAGACAGAAGAAATCCACAGAAGAAACGAGCACACCTGACAGAAAGAGACAACGGACACAGGTGAGCGGAGAGCCCCCAACAGGATACATTTATGTGAGAGCCAAGAGAGGTCAGGCAACAGACAACCACAGCCTTGCGGAAAGGGTAATCCTCAACATAACTCTCCTGTCTTGTGCATCGAACTCACTAAGCATCCATAATTCACATGTTGTTGGAGCTCAAAAATCTAAACATAGCAACTTCGAATTCTGTGCTGCGCGCGCGCGTCATAACACTTGAATGGGCATCAGGTGAGAAGGGAGAAAATAAACCAGCGGATGAAGCTTCTGCAAGGTATTGTCCCTGGCTGTGACAAGGTACAATGCTCATGTTCCTCGGTGTTCTCTCTGCTTTTCCTCCTTTCTCAAGAATAATGGAGGTGATAACATCGCGAGTATTTTTGCGATGGATTGCTTCGTTTTCGTGATCAATAGATTGCAGGAAAGATCCTTCTGCTGGATGAGATAATAAACTATGTGCTGTCCTTACAGCGCCAAGTTGAGGTATATAGTCAAAACAGTTGCTTGCAGTTTATCATGCTGAAACTCTAATGGAAGTTTGGAGATCACCATTGTGCAGGTGCTCTCCATGAAGCTGGCTTCCATGGATCTCAAGTTCCGCGACTTGTTTACGGAATCCATTGGCTACGTAAACCAACAGCAGGTGATGAGCAGAAAGAATTATAATTTCCTGTTAGATTGTTGTCCAAATGGAGAGCACAAATGATGGTGATGGATTTGGGATCATTCATATCAGGAAACTGGAAGCATTCCACGACTCTCTGTGCCAGTGCAATCTGTGCTCCGGAGCAGTGCAATTCAACAAGTCCCTTTTGATGAGGCCACTGGAAACAGCATGTCACATCTTTTGCTGCATGGAGGAGGAGCCACAGCTTTGCCTCAGGTTGTTTTACTGCATGGTCAAACCTTCCACCTACTACTCAAAATGACACAGGAATTCCTTCAGACACTACCTGTTTCCTGTGGTTTCAGGACAATGGAGCATGTCTCCCCATGCAGGTGGCTGATCAAAGACATGAGCTCTTCAACGAAGTAGTCCTCAACAACATCTCTTTCTTTCCAGTGAACTAAATTATGGAGAAAGATGACCTCATGAACAAGAGGTCATGGGCAGATTGTCTTCCTTTAAACCCACCTTAAATTAGGTTATGGCCAATGGCTTATCACAGAATCTGCTCTGGAAAATCTTACAATTCATAACACATGTATCTGTATCAAAGAATACCACATATAAAAATAATTAAGATTCTCCATCATGTTTGCATATTTGATTTATCACTGCAAGATTGCCTCATTATTGACACTATTGCTTCTCATTTGAGTTCATCACACTTAGAAATATTGTTATGCTGCTGATGTAGGACCCAAGAGTAGTCATATCCCACCAACATAAAAGCAACAAATCACAGTTTTTGGATGTAGATGTAGATGTTGATTCATTGCTTCTTGCTAATTTTCATACATCTTTTTCCATTTGCTTGTTTTTTTGGAAGACATCACCTTATCCATAACAAGCTTGACTATTGATAGAAAGATTGGGACTTGTGCATGAGTCATTTTCTTCAATTGATTTGATATAAATGTTCTTTTAAAATCATCATCAAGTCTTAGTTTTGATTATTTCCTTTGTTTTTTAAAACTTTGAGCTCTTTGTCCATATATTTTAGAGGGATAATTATATATTACCCTTATAATTAGTTATATTTAGTATCGAGATTTTTATACTTTTAAAAGTTATATTGAGATTTATATACTTATAGAGTTAAAAGATAATTTTACAAGATTAAATATTAAGAAAGAGAAATTTTATTAGATTAACGAGGTTAAATTTTTTACTTTCGTAAGTATAGGAATCTCAATATATCTTTTGAAAATATATGAATTGAAATGCTAAAGATAACTAATTATAGAAAATAATATATAATTAGTTTGATTTTAGAGCTAGTAATGATAGATTATTTTCGGACCAATTCTTCAAATTATTTAAATTGCTTGGACAATTAATTTGAACTATTAATGTCCAAATCACTCAACATTTTATCATCATAAAAATTCATGCCAAGAAATATGAAATTGTGTGCTTATTACTTGGTATCAATTTAACTATATTAATTTTACTTGGTCGTGACTTGGTTCACAAAACCACGAACCCCGTCGCGACGCATTTGACCTTCACCTTATCCGTCAGTCAACTCAGTCAACACGGTCCAGTCCAAATGCCTTGTTTGTTCCAATATGCATTGTAAAATCTGCCTTCTAGCAGCATCATCGTTTGGCCACGTATCCTGCAAGCAATTCAATGCCGGCCTTTTGGCCGTTCGATGTGACCGCCTCCTTAGATCCGATATAAGTTGTGCAGGGGAGGGTACGTCAGACGAAGACAAATTCCCTCACGGTGCCCTTTTGGACACTCAAACTACATACGGCTTCTCTCTCCTTCTCTCACTCTCGCATTCTCTCGAACAGTTCGCGGTAGCTTCGATGGCAGACACCGATCCGCCGGAGCCACCATCTAACGGCGGCGCAGCTGTACCGACGGAGCCTCCCGCGGGCCCCTTCACCGGTTCCAAGCGGCAGCGCCGCCCCAGCGTGCGCCTTGGAGAGATAGGCGATCAGCCCGCTGCAATCCCCTCAGATCACCACCTCCGCCGCCATAAGCACTGGAAGGTCACTTCTACTGCCCCCGGAGACCACACAAAGCCCCGACCCTACCACCATCACGCCGCCTACAGGCACACTTCCAAGACCCGCCACCTCACTGCCCTCGCACCCGGCGAGGACGATGGCGCCGACATTTTCCCTCCTCCTCCGCCACCGCCCATGTCCGATGACGGTGCCCTCCTCCCTGTAGATGATAACGTCGACCCCTTCGGCGCCGGGGGCCGGCGGGTCAACCGTGATCCGAAGTCGTGGCGGGGCGCGAGGCGGGTGCGATCGAGCTGGGTCTCCAAGGCCGACGAGGGCATGGAAGGCCCCGACTTCAAAATGGGCGGTGGCGAAGACGCCGCTGATGATGGATTCCCAGAAGGGTCCGGTAGTCCGTCGGAGAGGAACGACAGGAGGGCGGCTAGGGTTAGGGTTTCAGAGAGCAGGGATGCGGGTGTTGCTGTCGAAGGAGATTTCCCCTCCGAGACGGATGGCGGAGATTGGAACGACCGGAATGGGCTGTGGCGATCCGGGGAGGACGGTGGGGTGCGGTCATGGCTGGAGGGATTGGGGCTCAGCAGGTATGCCCCCGTGTTCGAGATACATGAGGTAGACGACGACGTGTTGCCGCTACTGACGCTGGAGGATCTGAAAGACATGGGAATCAATGCGGTTGGATCGAGGAGGAAGATGTTCTGTGCCATACAGAGGCTGAGGAAGAACATGGGTTCATAAAGTGGACTATGAAGTTTGATGAGCAAGGTGACAATGCATTGAAGCAAGAATGGAACTTCGGTGCCTGAAATAATGCTGGTGATCTCTAACTTAAATTCTTCTTTCAGTATTTCTTGGAACCATATCACCTTGCTTGTTATAAGCTAGTGTCCTGGATCCTTGTATATCTAATGCTGTTTCTTCTTTCATAAATACTATGAGAGATGCCTTCCTAATGTAATTTGTTGACATTTTAGCTTCTTAAGTCTTTTATGAAAGCACCCTTGAAATGTTTTTTTAGTAATGCCAAAATTGGAATAAAGTAAATCATTGTATGGAAGAAGGTTTAGTATAAGAATGAAAATTTGTCAACTATTTAGATTCATCTTTTTTGGATCAAATGTCACTAATGTGGGTGCTGGCAAAGTTTTGTTGGAATTACTTGTACTTTTACCCAACGAGTTTGCTGTGTGGTATAATGTGTTTAGTGGCCAATCTACGATTTATTAATTTGGCATTGTTATTGTTTTGAAACTTTTGATAGTTATACTCCCACCTATAATATCCATTTGAAAAATATATACTTTGTTGGATGGTGCACTGTTTTTTATATTTCATGACCAACTTTTGTCTTAGTTATAAGCCTATGCTCACTTGTTATTGAGATTCTTTATAGTTCAGTCAATTTATATCTGCTCCTTTAAAAATGAATGCTTGATATATGCACAAAAGTGGTAGATGTAAGAAGATAATATGTTACATTAGTATAGAATATGAGTAAACAGCTGAACTTTGAATGAGATACAAAAGTGTCTGCACTTAATATAAAAGTCAAGTAGAGGGATAAGCTTTACTCTAAATTTTATTTTGAGTTTCTGATAACCAGCTTCTTCTCATATCTTGTAATTGGGGAAGCTTTTGTAGGAAAGTTGTTAAAGCATGTATCAATGGCTATTATGGAAATTTAGATATAATTTGATAGATAAAGCAGAGAAGGATGTCAAGAGTGTTGTTTTCATTGTCGTATGCTCCTTAGGTTAAAAAGAAATAAAAGCCTTGTAAGACCAGCTATATTTTTATGATTCAAAATGTTTGGCAGTTAGGAATTTTCCAAGATCAGGATCTCTAGATGAACATGTGGAGTTGCTTGAAAAGATTAAGAAAAAAATATTGACATTGTTACTGAGTAGTTAAGAATAATTCCTATTGAATACAATAAGAGAAACTTGTTTAAGGTGTTTGGTCTTGTTCAAAGTAGGTATGACAAAGTAGGCGTTTGTCTTGAATATGACAAAATGTAACAATTTTGAACTGAAGATAGTACTTTCAAACCAAGTTCATCAAAAAATTGGGATCAGCTTGGTTATGTGATTAGATCAGGTGGCCAATGTTTTGGCAAAAAATGATGATCTAAAAACAATATATAAACATAAAAATTCAAAAATGGGAAAATTGGAATCATATATGGTAATGGAAAGTTTAAAAAATTTAATTGATTAATAAAAAAAAGGTATGAGAAAGATTTTTATTAAAATAATTAATAAGCATTTGAAATTTTTTGATTCGGTTCAATGACATTCTCAAGCTGTTGTTTAAGTTGATGCAGTCCGATCTTTGACCTCTAGTCGTAAATGTCTATTAACTTTGGTTGATTAGTGATGGCATAGGTGTTTCCAGTTGAACTGGAATCAATGAGCTTTTGAAAAACAATTGTTGAACAACTTATGTCTATATAGATTCTGTGAACCAGAAAATAGAATTTTTGCTACACTGTACACATTGGCTATAGCTGTGGCAGGAAAAGAGAAAATGAAGTGGAAGATGGCATCGTTGGCATATTTGACCACCTAATTTGCATTAACTAACACATGGTACACATGTTCAAGAAAACTTATCCGTATTCATGGAAAGAAATACATTCATGTATATGCATTACATAAATCTATACATCCTTTTGATTAAGATATTAATGATATGTGACATACTTATTTATTTATTTTATTATATCTAATTACTTTTACTTTGACAAAATGTAATAGTATGTGTACAAGTGTTTTTTATGACAACATTTTAACATTGAAATATTAATTTTCCAAATTTACTATGGAATTTTCACACTATATACATATTGAGGCTAGAGCTTGGGCCTTGGGGTCAGTTTATTGTCTGGGATCACCTATGGTATTGGGTAATTTGGAGCATACAAGGAATACACAGCAAAAGATGGTAAAATAGGTAGGATGAACAGGAAGAACAAGGCATATGAGTTGCACAATTGTTTTCTCTCTCAAATGGAGCTCATTTGTGATGCCTGTAAACAAGCCAAACAGCCTCTCTTCTATAGGATACTGTTCTGCTCTTATTTGGACTCCTCAGAATTTTTCGGATAGGAATCAATTGCCAATGGAATATATTTTTTTCTTTTTCCTAGTTCACCTATCTTGTATTGGAAAAGTTTGAGTCAGTCATGATTTTGTTTATGCAAACGAAGTTACAAACTTGGAATGTGAGAGGCTATTTGGCCTTGACATTTTCATCAACTCTTGCAGTTGAGGAAATTGTCACATTTTTTATTGCAATTATTAATTCGTTGTGTGGATGCAGCAACAACAATGTACTGTAGCGATTTCTGTTCAGAGGATTCATCTTTTGTGATGAAAATGTCAACCATACCATGCGTAATATGACAAAACGGGCATTCGTTGTTTTAGACATTAGTTTAAAATAGTCCATAGGCTATTTGAACTATTAGATACTGAAAACATATAACAGCCTAACATGAAGGTAGATGCAAAAGATAGAATAAGAAAGAATAATACATGGCTTGTTGTTCAAAGATTGAATATTTCTCAAACGGATGTAAAGTGCCTTTAACGAGTTGCACAAGCCCTGTGCCATGGAACACTCTTCTACTCATACTATGGCTTCTTGGAACCTAAAAAGTAGGATGCCAGCTGTAGAAGCCTGCCATAAAAATGCAAATAAACTGACAGCCTGTGCAAATGTTGAAAGCTATCTGGTAACAATCATCGAAACCCTTCAGACTTAAGAATTTAAACTGTTGCAAATATTAGGCTGACCACTGTAGAAGTATATAGATATTGGAGAAGCTCATGGTACATTTTGCTGATAGTGTTGTCTGTATCTGCTCATAGTTAAAATCATTTAAATTTTTTTGACCAATTATCCTGAAAGTTTCACTTTACACACATTCCTCTAATTTCCAAGTTGGCCTAATCAATTAGTGTCCATTTTTTTCTGCTCAATATATAGAAACTATAGGGTTTCTTTCCATATTCATGAGGGCAGACACTTTCGTCTTCACGCCTACCTTGTATTTACTTTGTATTTGTGAATCCTTCATGTAAGTTGCCTAATTTTGCTCCTGCTTGAGATGGATGTTGCTATCTGGTCTTTTCCAGTTTTTGCGGAACTGTGTCTTTGTTGTCATATGAATATGACTGAATGTTTAATTACGAGCTATAAAGCTCGGAACTGCTATGTTCATCGGAAGATTGTAAAATGACTATGTTGTCTTCCTGTTCGTTGATTACCTGCATATCTCATATGTGTGGTATCATATTCGGACCTATATGTTGTTTGCCAGTGGAGATCCTCTTTAGTCGATAGTTTCTTTTTTTATGTCTTCCACGTTGTGTAGTTATCGGTGATTGTTTTTGCTGTTAGAAATTATCTTGCATATCAGAAAGTGCATGTGTACAAATTTCTAGTTATACATTGGCTGACTGCATTATTGTTATTGCAAGACATACTGTTCTAGTTTAGAGAACTGATGTATCTTTCAATACATCAAGCTGATTTGTCCTCTGATTAAAGTACTTTGTTTTTCTGACCAAATATGGCTTTCTGAATCCTCTAATTGCTTCTTTTAACATCTGACCTGCTTTAAATCGGATCAGAATATTCATTAATTGAGTTGAAATCGGTACGAGGAATATAGGTAACCAAATTAAGTTGGGAATGAGTTTGGATAGCTAAATTGTTAGCCAGGTTGGGGAATAGGTAGAACAAATTCATGGTTATCTTACTTGCTGTCTTTTCTGAATATTCTTTTTAAGAGTTCACAAGGATTAATTGTGTGCTAATATAGGGCATGCCAAGGTGAACTAGAATGTTCCTAAAGAAGGTCACTTATGTTAATTAGCAGCCTATAATTGCCTGAGGACTGGTGGCATCAAACAGAGTAATGTTCAGAAACTACTTAGAAAAATGATTTAGAGAGTGGAAAGGGAATAATTGGTGCACATTACATATTGTAAAGGAGGATAGTCTTTCTAAAAGCTTTCTTTTTCTGCATAGGATGGATGTCTTGAGACCCTATTAAGTATTAAAGCACTCAATAAGATTTCACATCATTAAATTGTTCCAACAAATAGTAAGTGACACATTAACGATAATAAAATGCTCATTTTGATATTTCAGTATTAATATATAATAGTGGGATTATGTGACATTAAATGCATTTGTGAATAGCTCTTCATTATTTTCACGTTTCTGGCATGCTTACCGGTGATTTCACACTTCAGTTCTCGAATGAGCCACATCAAATCTCTGATTCATCATTACTATATTGTAGGACTGATGGAAAGTTTTAGCATCTTTCAAGCCATTCTTTTTTATCCATGTGTATAGAGAAGCTAGTTTCGATGGTAGCTGAATGGTTTACTATGACAGGAATAATGACCGAAATTTAAATTGGGTACCTTCTGCTCTTTCTATCTTTCTCTGATTTATGCTTCGAATTTGTCCACAGCATTTTGTAGTCATCTTTAATCTATGATAAAAAAAAATCTAATAAAATTGCTTATATATAGTCTTTTAGAGTAATTATTTTTCGCATCTATCCCTCTTGATTTAGGGTTGTCATATATATATATATATATATATATATATATAGAAACAAAGTGGCTCTCACAATGTGAAGATTTAGGTTTTGAAACCCAAATCTTTGGATAAGTTATCGACTTCGAGCTAATTATAAATTATTTTTATAATTAGTTAGTTTTAGTATTTTAATTTTTATATTTTTAAAAATTATATTGAGATACTTATAAAAATAAAATATTTAATCTTGTTTCTTCTCGTGTTATCGATTATGTTGATGAAAATATCTGTTAAATGTAAATCAAAGTGAGACAGAGTCTGTGATAAATCTTATAATGTTTTCATCAATAAAATTGATGACTACATAAGAAACAAGATTAAATATTTTATTTTTATAAATATAAAAATATAATTTTTAAAAATAAAAAAAAAATCTATAATTAACCTACGACTTCTGAGCTAATACAGGTCGAATACACACAAAATCCACCATACACATGAAAATAATCTAAACCAAATTATTTTGGCCAAAAAGCTACCTAAATGATTCTACAGGTATGCATGATTTTATTAGAAATCATGCCACTTCCTGATTTTAGCTGACTAATTCATGATCCAGTACACTTATTTTCGGCCTCGGTGATGATATCATTGACTTTGGGTGATGTTTCACGTTACTTTCGCGCCCAAAATAGCACGAGGAACGCATGCATGCAGAAATCGTGGAGTTCTCCCCGTCATCGCCGAGCGAGCGTGTTCACTGTTCCGTTCTCTTTCCGCGCTCTCGCCTGCTCGCCACGCCTGCCCCGTTTTCCTCGTGCCATCCGTCTCCTGCCTATTCCTGCTTCCTCCTCTAAATATCTCTGTCTTGTTCCTCGGGTTCTCGGGACAAACTGGAAGAGGAAGAGGCGGCGGAAGATGTCCGGTACCATGGTAAGAGCCTCCGTGGAGCACGATTTCTTCGGCATCGGCGGCGGTGGCTCCTCCAAGAAACCCACCATGGGGAGAATGAAGTCGTTCCGCGGTAGTCGTCACCTTCCTTCTGCTCATCGACCTTTCTCTCCCTCTCCTTCACGTAACTTCTCGATCGACGTCGCTCAAATGAGTATCTTGTGATCCGTCTCAGAAATCCATGGCGAGATCTCGAGGATGAGTCCGGATGTAATAAAGAGCGTGATCGCCGCCTCCAGCACAGCAGTGGAGAAGACGAAGACAGCTTTCGCTGCCGCCACGACGCGGCTGCCGGTGCCGAACCCTGATTCTTCTTTCAGGCATCCGAAGATGGGCACCGCTGCTCCTGCAGTGGTGGCTCCACTCACCATCTTCTACAACGGGGCCGTCACAGTGTTCGATCTCCCGCAGGAAAAGGTCGGTCTTCTACAGTTCCTTCCTTCCATCTTCATCCGAAACATAAACAGGCTGGTGAACAGGCCGAAAACATTTTGAAGCTGGTGGAGGCAGAGATCATCGAGGGAGTTGACGCATCACCCACAGAGCCGGTGGCAAGCCAAGAGCAAGATGGAGGAGGTAAGCTGGCCGATCAACCCACACAGTACTAATCCATGCATACTCATGCAAACAAAGGCGAGGATGAGAAGCCAGGAAACTAAGTGTTCCATTCATCTGTTCTTGGGCAGACCTGCCAATGGCGAGGAAGATGTCGTTGTTGCGGTTCCTCGAGAGGCGACAGGGAAAGCAAATATATAATAGTTAGAATTTACGATTTTATTATGTAAAAAAATTAATATTTATTTTTCTCTCCAAAGAAAAAACATATAATCAAATATTTCATTACCAAATGTCATTAACAGATCAATTATCTCATCACGTCGGATTATCATAACATTTGTGAGTTACATCTACAACACAATTGCCTATCAAACCCAACAAGCTACAGAAAGTGAGGCATCTAAAGAAGAAGATAGAGAAGCACAGAGCTTGGATCAATCACTGTTGCTTAATCTGCTTCTACAGACCGAGGACATGGCACATACGAAGAGGAACAGAAGAAACCCTACGTAGGAACAGGCAATGGAGATCTCAGTTCTTCCACAGAACTTCTCGTAGTATGGGCACACCTTCGTCCACCCAATCTCATCGTTCCCGTACTTCCCCACGTAGCCGATCGCCGCGGCCGCCGATGCTGCGGCCATCACCAGTCCCAGGTTCATCTGCAGTCCCAGGTTCAGATGACAAGCAAATCTCGAAGAGACCTTATGGCGTTAAATGTTATTGGGAACATGGAGTTCAGATCACCAGATCAAATAGGTTCAGCATCCATCCCTCCACCATATGGGCAGCGAAAGGGAGGGACAGCACCGAGTACCCACATGCAATCGCATTGCCGATCACAAAGAACCTGTGGAAGGAAAGGAGATACGAGAGCTCATAAAATAGAAAGAGACGGGCACCGATGCCAAAATGGAACGCATCCGAAACGACGTCTCACGGACTTGAAGGCCGGCGAGGAATTGTAGGTGGCCTTTATCTCGAACCCGGCGACGTTGCTGATCTGCTTGTTGAACCCCATCAGCGCCGCTGCGACGAGGGTGGCAAGAGCGGCCGACGCCTTGCAGACGACATGGATCTTGAGGTACTTGCCACGGGCTCTCTTTGTTGCCTCCTCCTTCTGCTCCCTCTTCAGCGCAGCACTCTCCATGGAAGAACCACCAACGGTGCATGGATCAGGACGAATGCCACGAAGAGACACGAGGGTTGGAGACAGATTTATAGGGAGGGATTGGTGCAGTGGTAACAAACTCGGATCAGTGACTCGGAAATCTCGCCGGCGATTCACGCACAGTTGGCGGCTGGAGAGTAGAGAAGGAAGGCCGGGTTGCCAAATCAATCGAAGCCCACGTAAGTACGTTTCCTCATCGGATTGGAAGACCAACATCCCACGCATCTCATCATCCTCCTCGCCTCACTACAACTGTTGCCATCGATTGCTTCGTCCTATCTCACCGATGTCAAGCTCTATCCATATTGCCATCGGCTTTGGTAAGAGCTCTCCTTTTTCCATGAAAGGAAGGATTACAACCAGACAACAATAATGGCATATTTCTCCTTTATTATCATTACAATTTAAGCTGATGTAGAAGATTTATTGGCCTGATTTGTGATCCACAAGGCATGCATCGGAGGGGTCATATTTCTTTGGTTGGGTTGGGGAAGCTTAATGTATTACAATTTGTGTCATAAACTCTGATTTTTTATGGCAATTTGGGTCCAATATTACAATTTAAGTGTATAAATTCAATATATATGTTATATAGTAAATTATTTTTTTTCACTTAAATTTCTTATCTCCTTGATCTTAATTTGCTAGATAAAACCCCGGCGAATCGGACCCTGGGTAGATCTAATCCTTGGGTTAACTTAACTTCCAAGTAAATCTTAGTCAAGCTAGTATAGTAAGTCGATGTTTTAAATATATTTCAAAACTTAATCAATTAAGATCAAAATATATTTGTAATTCAAACAATTTATTATAAAATTCATGTCTAACTCAAGATGAACATCAAAATGCTTGTGATACTTATCTTACCAACGAATTTATATGATTCAAATATAGGGTTTTTTTAATCCGTGTTCACTCTTTATGTGTTCTCTTTAATTATACTATTTCTTTTTATTGTCTTATATATAACGATTGGTAGTGTGTCACAAACATGAATATTGATTCGACAGTAAAATTTGATAACCATGAGCTTAAGACTAATCGTTACCATGTAATTATAGTTCTAACGACGGATTGATATATATATATAATGATTGGTAGTGTGACACAAACAAGAATGTTGATTCGATACCAAAATATGGTATATTGATGAGTTATGTAATTGTTATCGATTTTAATCATAGTCTTGACTTCGACTATTTTATCGAATCCTTTGAGCTTCTATTGATTTAAATATTAGAGAAATCTTATCGCATACATATAGTTAGTTTTTGTAAGCTTTGTATGTGAATCTCTAGCTTTCAATACTAATAATAATCGGAATATTTTTCTTTACACCATTAAAAGTGGACATGAGGAGAGGATATTATTTAATTTGTAAGATAATGGTTTTCCTCAAGATTTAGAATGGATTATGATATACGTTTCTTATGCATTAATATCAATCGTATCGAACGAAGCCTTCTCCATTTTTCCTTGTATGGGTGACCAAATACCTTTTAGAAGAAATTGATGAAAATTGCAGATTTAGATTTCATTTCAACCATGAATGTAAAAAAACCATCTATATTTTGTTGATGACAAAACATTAAGATTACAAGTTTGCATTCAATCCAAAAATTCATTAATGTCTTTCGAGTCATTCACTCGCAAGCAAAATGTAATATTCATGAATTAATTATATTTTTATTTTTTTAAAAGATAAACGATCGACATGAGATTTAAACTCGGGACCTTATAATATATTGTCAAAATCTTTATCAATTAAGTTAATTAATACATTCAAAATATGTTGGATGAGATTTCGAACCCTCGATCTTTTACAAAAACTATGTCATCGAGGAGAACCTAAGTCTCGCATCAATGACTCCTTTACTCTCCTCTTACAAAGCTTACACAAAGACGTCATGAATGGAATAAACCCATGTCACTTATTTGCCCCGTATAAATACGATACGAGGAGGAAAAAAAACTATCTCGATTACAATACACGTTCCAAAAATATTAAAACATATGCTATTGATATTATACATATTTTTGCATAATTTATTTACATCGGTAAGGAAAATTTTTGTTAATTGAAATTGGTTGGATAAGGATTTACAGTGTTCTTAAGAGAAATAATTAAAATCTATAAGTGAGCAAGAAACATTTCTCCCAATGCAGTAAACTAATGTAATCTCTGTCATAAAAAAAGGAGTAAGAGATTTAACTATATTTTAGAGAGATTTTGATGTCTAATATCCACTTGTATATTTCTTTTGGATGCCAATTAGTTGAAATTACTTCTATTTTTCCTTGAGATAAAGAAAAAAGGAAAACAAAGAAGAAGAAGTAGAAGAAGAGAAAGGCATTCATGACCGTACGTTCACCTGTCGAACACCTACGCTTCTGCTTGTCTCATTCTCCACTAACATTGGGATCTCACTCTACAGATGGAGAGAGAGGTCGAGGTCGGCGGTGGTGGTGGCGGCGGTAGCCGAGTTCTCGGCCGCTGGGTAGGAGGGCGGCGGCACTGAGACGGGACGTTGTGGCAATAAGCCGCAGAAGTACGGCGGTCCCCCGCCATGGCTCGACACGGCCGGCTCGAGGAAGACGGGCACGTGAGAGGTGCGGGGTGTGAGGTTGGCCATGTAGTAGGAGGCGGCAGGCTTGCGGCCCGCGGCCGCCCGCTCCTTCCTGTGAGCGTTCTGGTGACCGCCGAGGGCCTGCGATGTGTGGAACCGCCGGGAGCAGTAGGCGCAGGGGAACATCCGAGAAGGTGCGGCTTCCGCCGCAGGCGGCAGCCCGGCCATGTTCCCGACCGGAACCGCCTCCGCCGGCACCTTCAAGAAGTTGTAGTAGCCGTTGCTGCTTGGCTCTGACATTGAGAGGAAGAGGGACCACAGAGAGACGATAGACTCTACGCAGTGGAGGTTTTACTGAGGGTTTAAGAGAGAGAGAGAGAGAGAGAGAGGGGTGGAGGTTTTGATGTGTTCTTTACGTGGAGCTGATGGTTTGCTGGATGTGGAAGTCCAGAAATGTCCCTGGGCTTGATATCACCTATGCAGCTCTCAGAAGAGCAACCGTGTGTTTGGGTGAAGTGGGAGTTCTTCAAACTGTGTTTACATATATCATTCATCCATGTAAGTGAAATTTTTTTCTACTTTGAAAAATTATCTAAATTTTTAAAATTTTTCCATCTCTTATTTCATAAATAATAATTTTACTCTTAGCCTCTATCGAACCCACCTCCGCATCTGTCCTGCACCACCGTTTATCTCCATGAATCTTATCGATTTTTATCGGACTCGTTCGACCCTCACGTGAGGAAGGAAGAGATGTGATGATTATCATCGCTTTCATAGACCTTGACGACCCTTATCGAAGTCGACCCTACGCACTTTACCCTCGTTGTGCTCATCGATAGCCCTTGCAAGAGAAAGGTAATGATGGGTTTGACGAAAGCTAGCAGGATCCATGAAGGTGTAAGGACTATGAGTAAGAACGACAAGGGTGAGACGTGTAGAGTCAGATCCGATATGGTTCACAAAGGCCCTTGTCCTCTCTCGTTCTTTTCACAAGGGTCATGGGTTCCATAAAAGACGATAATAAATCTAACGAGTTAGAAGAAATGAGAGATGATCGTGGAGGCGACGTAGGGGTAATACAGTACAGCAAAAACGAGTGATCCTACGGATATACGAGTAAAATGATCATTTGGGTGTTTTATAAAAAATTGAAGCATTATATAATAATTTTCTAAAGAGAAGAATTTTTTTCAAAAATAAGCGCTGCACACTATAAATAATTATATTGGATCAGAAATTAGAGAGGATTATTATACATGAGTTAGGGGATGGATAGCCGTTGAAGAAATTAGGAAGCCTGAGATGTCAATGCACGGAGACCTATTCGCGGATGCAGTTAATTTATTGCATGTACTCAATTATTCTCACTTCCCCAGTAATACAGATGATGGTATTTGTCCGCCTTCATCCCCTCTCTTTCTTTTCCAGGCTGTTGCGTGAATGAAGCTCTTGCCATCACCTTTCCACTCTGCGTTGTGTCTGACACTGTGTTCATGATTGATGCAATCAGAATGTTCCCTGAATGAGTAACAATTTAATCTTATACAAATATATAAGGAAAAAAAAAACTCTTATTTTTTTCTTCTTATTCTTCAAATCACTGCTCTGATTTCCATTTATTCATGCAGATTTTTTTTTCCAATATGAAAAATACTTCTTGGAAGAAAAGTAATAAGGATTTTTTTGGGGTATATTTAGATTTTATTTTCTATCATAATGGATACGATATGAAAAATATTTATTTTCTATCATAACATATCCTCTTGGAATGATAAAAATATTCAATTATCAATCTTTGATTCTTTCATAATTAATTTTGTTGGTATGGTATTGTGATCTTATTAATGCATATATTATAACAAAAAATAGTATGGATATATGAATTAATTAATTTGATAGTTTCTTGAAACTCAAACTAAGGAATCTAATTTATGCTGTCATTCATAACCTAACAGCCTAAAATATTTCATGGAAATCAAGCTAAAAGAATAATATGCAGAAGTTAACAAAAACTTAGAAGACTTTCACATAAATAACGATAAAATTTATGGAAAATCAGAACATATGCTCAAAGCAAAAAAGATTTCAGGCAGTTGTATATGATAAATCCCTGAGTACTAATAATTAATGTCTAAAAGGAAATAACAATATCACAGAAGAACAAGAAACACCATTGGTGGTGGTTCCTTTGAGGCATTTCCATCAAGCCGTGTATTCCTTGATGCTTCTTACATAGACAGCAAAAGATCCATCAAGAATATCTTCCATCTTGACATGATATATAGACCAAGCAAAGAAAAATACTAACACTGAGCCAAGACAATGAGACTTGAAACATTAAAAATGACCTAAGAATATCCAACCTGATGACATTTGCTGCAAAATGGAATGAGATTAAAGTAAAGATGAATGCTATCCACTGCTCAAAACCAATGTCAGAAACGCATATCTAATTCAGATGGAATAAGTCAACTAAACAAAACCCAAAAGTGTAAGCAAAAGTTATTGAGAAAAGTTTCGGCCATATCAAAAAAACTTGAGAGTATTCTGGCCTTGAACATTATTTTAAACAGTACTCAGCAATGTTTCGCTACAGATATATGTAAGAATTTCAGTAGCTTTAGACTTCCAATCAAGTACTGAAATGAAATATAAAAAGGCCAATAGCATCAATTTTATGCCAGGACAGATGTATAAAGGAGATAACCAAAGGACACACAACATTCATGATTTAACTCCCCCAACTGGAAAGACAAAAGGCAAAAAGGTGACATCAAAGGCAAAACTTCCAAACTAAGCTGCTGCAGCCATGGAGACTGATCGATAGCATGCACGCTTTGCAGCACGTACTATGTCGTCTACCTGCAAGAAACAATTCAAAACCATTATCTCAGACACTAGGTTTCTCTAATAAGCCTAGTTGTTCAAATATTTCAAGTGTGTGCACAAGAATGCAAAGGCATAATAACCTGTGGCACGGCCATCCTCTCAAGATTTGCAGCATATGGCATCGGAACATCAGCTCCAGCAATCCTCTCCACTGGTGCATCAAGATACTCGAAGCTTTCCTCCATAACAGACATGCTACTCAAGAAATCATGGTGTCAGATGTTTGCGTGCACAGAGTGGATGAGGAGTGGAAGAGAGCAAGAGTGCTAACCATATTTCAGCACCTACGCCATGTTGAGGAAAACCTTCTTCAACAGTGACCAGTCTGTTAGTTTTTCTGACAGAAGCATTGATAGTAGCTCTGTCGAGTGGTCTAATTGAACGGAGATTTATGACCTGTAAACTAGCTTCTTAGACAATCCAATATGTGGAACATTGCCAAGAAAAACAGGTGTATGAGCTCACCTCGGCACTGATTCCTTCCTTTGAAAGTATTTCCGCAGCCTGAATATATTTCACAAGAAATCGGATATTGGTTTAGTATATAGCGCATTGCACCAAAATTGGGAGGAATAGCATATGAGTAATGCCTTGTTAAGGCTAGTTTACAAAGTTGACCTGTGCATATGTTAATTTCAATAGTGAACAAGGTTACACATTATGCCCCTATGAAGCATGGACATACATGAGACAACACAGATATGCTGACATGAGAGTATTAAGAATGCAGCATGCAACACAACAACGACAACCATTAGTATATATGTATATGAGACTTGGTGCCATGGTGAGGTTTGAAGAGTCATAACCTAACCATAGCTCATATAAAGAGGATGGACCAGCAGGAGATTCTTCCCCCTGATCAGAACAGGGGCCAACAGATCCTAATGATTCTGAAACAAGGGGAGAATAGGTGCCCCATCATATCAACCACATAAACTGTACTGACCATACAGGAAAGTCATATCAACCCCTCAAGCAAACCCTTGTAGGGCCCTCTAAAAGGTTCAGCAAGGTCATATAACATTAGGATTAGCTGCAGCAACATCATGGAACATGATTTGATATGACTTGATGGGATATTTCATGCAAAAAAAAAATAGGACTAGTAGTAAATACTAGTAGCCTCTTGGACATTAGTGGCCATATTAAATGAATCACCATAAAGCCATTAAGGCATGTCTCAGGTATTGGATCTCTATTATGAACTATTCCAAGTGGCAGCTCTTGGCAGGTATATTCTCCTCAAAATTGGACTATACCTTGATAGAAAGGATCATATCCTATCAATTAAAGAATCACTATAGAAATTGTTTTCATTTTAAGAATATATCAGAAGCCTTTGGTTGTGTTTTGAACACCTATAAAAAGTGTAGGCAAGATTTGATCAGTTTTCCTTCAAAAATAAACTTAAAACATGTATAAGGCACCTTTTCCCAGGATGGCTTTGATTATAAAATACAACCTGAATATAAAAAAAATGCATCTATTATCTAAGAGTTGCTGAGATCGAGCATCATCAGGAGTTGCTGGAAGCTATGGTAACTGTACCTCAATACATCTACTTTTCAGCATATGGTTAGCTTAAGCATATGGGTAACATCTCTAGCATCAGTTCATACATCTCTACTTAACCGTTCTGCATTTTTTATGGTCAATATTTCTTTTAAGAAGACTGAAATCAGAAACCAAGATGATCGACAGAACATCCAACCAAGATTCACAATTACTAAGTTGAAGTTGCTGAATCTGCATATGAATAGTCAAATATATTTTTCAAGGGATAAAACGTGCAGTCACATTTGTTTACAGCGAGTGGCAGATATATCCCTTACAGACTCAAGCCTTCCGAAACATAGAGATGTTCTCTGTAGCCCTTTCTAATAATTGCTCTAGCACCATCATATATGTAGTCAGAGAATCAACAACTCATATAGCCCATAACTATATAATAAAGGCCAAATAAGAAAATAACAATAACCAAGATACGCAAAATCAACTAGAGAACATGAGTTGTATTGTAACATGGATATATGAAGCAAAACATGTAAAAAGGACAGTGATGAATGATGATCAGATGATGTATAAATGTATATGTTTCCACATAGTGCGCTTGCTAACCTAACACAACGCAATCTCTACAAGCAGCAGCAGCATAAGTCAAACTCTAGAGTCCAAGCTCAATAATGGTTATATCGATCACCCATTATCCTAGTTATTTACGCACCTGCAGAGCATACCCAACCATCTTTGAGAATGCAGTGACTGTTACATGCTTCCCTTCTCGTTCAATCTGTCAATAAGACAAATTAGCAATTAACTGAAATGAAAAGAAAAAAAAACCTGAAATGGAAAGAAACTTTCAGCACATATTTCACCATAAAAAAACCCATACCTTAGCTTTCCCTATTGGAAGGCAGAAACTGGAATCAAGTACTTCAGCTGAAACAGGAAATGATTCTCCATATCTGAAAAGACAAATATGAAACACGAAATCTACACGGTAAGGTCAAGCTTTAATTCATCAAATGATTAACTATTTGATGACTAATACATACAGAAGTTCATTTTCAAGAAAAACAACTGGATCGGGATCTCTAATAGCAGCCTTTAGCAAGCCACGAGCATCTTCAGATGAATATGGACTTAGCACTTTCAAACCAGGAACATGTGCATACCATGCTGCATAGCACTGTAAAAGATCTCACAATTAGCACTCCACATTTCACATCATTAGTCGTTGCTGTGATTAAATTCCATATTTCTTGACTACCTTAAATCGAAGAAACCAAAAACCATCTTACAAGACCTAGACTCTAGAGTTTTTTACTTTGTTTTTACAATCCACAAAGTAAAAAAGGTGAAAGAAAAAGAAACTAATTGATAAATATTTTAACCAGGGAATGTCGTTTTGCATATCGGATCCATATCACTTGCTGACCACACTGATATGTACTGGTCGGTACCAATGTACCAGTATATCAACACATAGTACACCAGTATGTATTGGTGTCTCGAACAAGAAGAAGAAGAGGAAGGGGCGATGGAGGAAGAGGAGGAAGAAGAAGAAAGTAGAGGAAGCGATGAAGGTGAAGAGGGGGAGGAAGCATACTGGGGAGGTAAGCGACGACAAACGCCAACAGTGGGGAGGCATGTGGCATCGGATGGCAATGTCTCGAGAGCCATTCTACTCTGTCTGTGTACAGAGATTATGGCTCTCACTCGTGAGCCCTAATGGAGCTTTGTTTAAGTTTTTTTTTTATTTTACTAATGCTCAGAATGGATTGAAGCGAGGGCCATCCGCATACCAATTTGGGCACGGTCCAACTGCTCATTTTGTACCGCTCCAAGAAAAATGGAGAACCTTGAGTTCAACCATATCTAAGAAACTTCCTCTATCCTTTTCCTCTTTCTATTATTGTGTTGAATGAGGTGAAGGGTGGATAATCATATAAGATTAAGGAAGCATCCAAAGAACAAACAAAAGAGGAATGACTCTATAAAAGATATTTTAATAGTGTAAGGTCCCAAGTATAATTGAAAAGGCAAGTGTATTGATGACTCTATAAAGCATAGAATTATACAAATAATATGTTAAATTTTAAGATCAGTGTTTGCTTTCTAATAGTTTTATGCCTAATAAACATCTCTCCAATTGTGTGTTATAGAATCCACAGCAAGATATACCATATTGATAGATGTTTAAATTGTTAACAGTCCAATGAAAATTCTATCTACATATCGAACAATAATAATTATAAATAATATATTACAGCAGAAACTTGTTCTATAGCCACCTGTGAATGTTGAGCACCAACTCCAGCTGCAGCACCATTTGGTCCTCTAAATACGATAGGGACAGATATCTGACCCGCTGACATGTAGTTGGATTTTGCAGCAGAATTGATGATATGATCAATTGCCTGCAAAGGGCACAAGTTTAAAAGTTTATAATGATAAAAAAAACTGTAATATATTGATATATATTATCCTGATGTGGAACCTACTTGGAACAATGCAAAAGCCAAGTAGGTTCTGCATCAGGATAATTTGTCAGACCTGCTTAATTGCTAGGGTAGTACTCAATGCACTAGGCCTTAACCCAAAGTATCCTAGCTCAATGGACTAGATATACTTAACCAACTTGTGAAGTAGTTATGGTGTATTGCTACTATCATATTTGTTGCTGATCAGGTTTAAATGTGGTAGTTACCAGTTACAAAAGACCTTAACCCATGGTGATATAATAATATCAACCAGCACATAACCAAGACTGTACAAGAAAACCTCAAGTTAGATTGATGACAACACTATGGCAGAGAATCAAATTATCCTTAACTTGCATTTGATGATAATATGATAGCATAAAGTGTTCATCACTTTTGTGCACCTTCCTGAAGATGTGATTATTTCTCTCGACCCAAACATGGCAAACGACTGCTGCAAATAGGCTATTAAAACAGCTACTGAAATTAGGTTATCAAAGATAATAAGCCCATTTTTTGAACATTCATAACTGCAGTCACAGTCATAGATAAAAAGACTGGTCCGTACCCCATTTAACAGTCAGTGCATCTGACAGTGTCCCAACTGTATAGATAAATAATGACATACAAATTGTTCTTTTTTATTATATCAGCGATGACCAGAGTGCATATTATAAATACAACATAGTGTATACTGGTCCAACAAGATCTCTGTAGGGCTACACCAATATTTATTTCCTTGCTCAGATCCACTGATGACATAAATCAACCAGAAAAGTATGTTCCCACTTAATCATCCAATTCTCTGACCTAACTCTTACATACTATATCCTAGCTAAAGTGCTCACTGAGATATTTTCTTTGGACAACATATCATTTGAGAAATAAACTGATGCACAGATGTGAAATAGCAAATCTAACCTGCATAGAGAAGTTAAACGTCATAAACTCCACGACAGGCCGAAGACCATAATAAGCTGCGCCAACACCAATCCCTGTGAATCCAGCCTATAGAACAGATAGATTCATGAGATGGATGTAGAAATGTCTTGTGTATTGAAAGATACAAATATAAAAGCTTGCAAACAAAATATACATTCTTCAAAATTTATGTCAAGAGATCATGTCAAATTATAATAAATTATAAACAGTAAGAAAAAGATGGCTTTTATAGAAACCTCTGTGATTGGAGTATCAAGAACTCTATCAGGACCATACTTCTCAAGAAGACCCTTAGATATCTACAAAAAAAGACAATTGAACAAGTACAAAAAGTTATTTCATATAAACAAAAATAATGAGCAAATAACTATAAAAAATAATGAGCAAGTAAATAATGGAGAAAATGGAGAAACTCTCAAAAGACAGAGGGATGCGAAACCTTATAGGCACCCTGGTACTCTCCAACCTAAGAAGGTGTAAGATTCGTTAGAACAAGAACAAAGAGGACCCAAGTTCCAAACAATCACTTTTAATGTTTTACCTCTTCACCCATCAAGAAAACTTTGGGATCTGCTGACATCTCCTCATCAAGTGCAGTGTTAAGTGCTTCACGCACTGTGATCTGTGAGAAAGACATAAAATTAGGTTTTATGCTCTTACTGTTAAAAAGCAAAGATAAAGCTACCAAATTAAGGGGTATGTAACCAAGTTCTCATAATCATTTGAGTTATGAGCCAGCAGGAACATAAACTTGTCTTGATTATCAAGTATGTTTAACCAACCATTATTTGCCATTTTTGGGAGAAAAAATTAATCTAATCAAATATGCGAATCAAGACCATTATCATCACCATGACAAGCAACGAGAGGATTAAAGCACAATGAAACAACAGATTGGTATTTGTTTCAAGCTAGAGAAGCCATGGTTCATGCTTTCCAATGATTCATAAGCACATGCTGCCTTTTTTATCTGATTAATTGAAGATAATATGAAATTACCTCTTTCGCTGCGGTCGAGTACTTCTTGGGCAAAACAGATCCAGCAGGCAGAACCCTCTGCAATAATGTAAAAAGGGGAAGAAAATTACATCTGCAATCGAACAACCAGAAACGGCGGAACCACTTAAGCTAGGACAAAGAACAAAAATCTGTACCGTTGCAGACAAGAGTCCGAATCCGAGCTTCCGCCTCACGACTCCCAACATCTTCCTATCAATCGAAGGCCACCAGCACAAAAACAAAAAGATATTAGATTCATTGCTACAGATACACGAAAACACAACAAGATACGACCCGTTCTTGTATACATGATTCGATCAGCTCAACAAACAAGAAAGGGGCGGGGAGATGGGACAAGACACTCCTGATATCGGCATCAAACAGGAAAATAAAAGAAGGAAACACAATCGGATACGAATCAGACGTTTCAAGAGGGGAGGAAAATAGATTACCTCGAAATCGAGAACGGCCAAAGGAAAGATCGGAGAGAAGGGAGAGAGGAAGACGACTCGGTTTGGTGGCGAGGACGTAAAAGACGCCGCCCTTGGAGTTCTGTATTAATATAGCAAAATATTAATATATTTAAAATATTAATAGCTAATCATGAATAATCATTCTTCAAATATTTAAAATATTTTTATAGCTTTTACCAATTTAGAAAAGTAAAATTTACAATAAATCGGTCAATATAAAACGTCTAATAATTATTATATATACTCGAAGATATCAATTGATAAAATAATAATTACATGCATTTACCTCTTGAAAGTGAATATTACATATATTTATCTACTTCTTATAAAATTATTCTATTTTTATCTTATTAAAGTATGTGATCCTATCTAACTTGATAAATATATTATAAATATAATTAAATTCTGATTAGATCATCTAATTATGATATAATTTTTTAAAAGACTATCTTGATGGAAGGAACTTTCCTAATTATTTAATTATCTGCTTTCGTCTTTAAATAAACAGAAACATAAAAATAATAATAATAAAAATATAAAATATTAAGAGATTATAAATTACAGCTCTTCATATCATTGCAGTGATTATTATAAAGGAAAAGAAGATGAGGGAATATATTCTAAACTATAAGTAGTGATATAGACCACAATTTCAAATTCTTGGCAGTGGCAGGATGAGTTGTCTAATTCTTAACGGCAGAAATGAAAACAAATAAAAAGAAAAAGAAAGAGTATTTGATCATCCTTCGCATGAACAGTAGTGTTTCATAGTTCAGTGATCCAATGGTCCGTGAAATATTCTCAGCAATCATCGTATCATTTTCTTCGGAAGAACAGACGTTGACTTCGAAAAGAGAGTCTGAGGGTGCCATTCTCACGTATGGTTGAGGACAGAGGAGTCAACTACGACACAAGCGTCCATTCAATATTTGAAGGGCTGTTTTCTCAGTCACCAACCAATCCTTCCTTCCGACTTTGTTACCTTCATTTTATATCAGCAGATTGATGCGCATAACGGATCGGCCCATTACGGCCCATAATGGGCAATGTCTGACCGGACCGAACCGGGAATAACGGTCTGGTCGTTTCGGCTGGACCGTTCGGCTGGCGGGTCGGTTCAACACGTGACGTGGTAGGGTTTTAGGGGAAGCTCGCTTTCGTGGAGAGACGCCGACGGGGAAAGATTTGGGGTTGGAGGAGGAGCCGGTCGAGGACGACGTCGTGAGATGGACAACTCCGCCGAGCTGCAGCGGTTCCTCGAGGTTAGAATTGTTTCATCTTGTAGTGTCCGTAATGTAATGTTTTTCATCGGTTGTTTCGCCTCTTCCTGTTTCTCTTGGGTGGTAAGTGGTGTTTAGGGTTGAATGTCGAGGAGCCTTGTAATTGTTGATCGGGGGGCGTATCAGTTGTGGAATTTGGGTAGAAGATGTACAATTTGACGTAAATACTCACAAAAAATGTGTGGGTTATTAAGATCAGGGAAAGATAATTTACATTGTGTTACGGCCTGCTTCCTATAGCAGTTCTATCTTCGTGTATGCATATATGCCAATTAATTGTTGTTGAAACTACTCTACTTGCATTCAAATTTATATTTGGTTGAATTGATGTTTCTAATATACTTTAACGTCTTCAGTGGTAGCCATCTTTCCTATTTATTCTCTCTTGCTTATTCTCTAGTGGGAGTTCAGTGGAAATTTTACCTTAGATGGCCTGTTATGTATGAAACTTTTGAGAATCCAGTATTTTTTATAGAGGCTGGGGTACTGGAGGAGCCTTCGGTATTGGTTAGAGAATGAATTTTACAGATGCAAGAAGAGAAATGTAAAGCATTGAAAGTATATTGATTGAAGGCTCAAGAGGTTAGTTTAAAAAAAAAAAAAGATTATAACAGGTAAGTTGGGATTTAAATGAAACCACTGATAGGTTTTTAATAGTCAAGTTTCAATAAATAATTTAAAGGGTGTTTCAGCTTGGACTATCTTTTTCTGGGAGTCACCATATCCAGCTGATTATCTTATCTTTTACCATCAACTTCTTTAGATATCTGCATATCTGAAATGGAGGAATTTATGATTTAGTGCACAAAACTGGAGGCCATAAGTTCTATTGCCTTTATGTTTAAGTACTTGTTTTTATTATTTTGGTTTTTTATCTTTTCTGACTTCTGAAATTTAAATTTGTTGAATCTTGCGTATTCAGATTCATTTTATTCTAATTTTATTCTGGAGAAATGCAAAATCAAAGTAACAGGAGACATTGCCACTTTGAATAACTTTGTCCTTTATAAACGCTTTGTTTCTTGATAAAATTGAGGACTTGATGAATAGCCGTGGTGGGTCTTCTGACTGTTGAAAGCTCTGAACTTCCTCAGTAATGATTACAAATTGCAATCTTCTTTATACATGCAAAGTTTTGTGCTTCCTTTTATGCTTATCGCTATACAACATTCATGTGAGCGACAACTAAAACCATTTACGTAATGTATCTTTATCCACCATCCCATAAGGAACTTCAATTTAAACTTTGTTAGCTGATAGCCACGTCAATGTTCTACTAGTGTATACATTTGCCATTCAATTCAAAGTAACAATTGTGTTATGTGCTACCAGTTATTGTTTGGCAAGACCTTCTGTCTTGAATATAATGATTGGAAAATCTCAATTGTAAGGAACATGATCAAAAAATTATTGCAGTTGCATATTATTCTTGCAGAGAATGTTTCTTAGGATGCAATGATAATACGACAGGTGTAGATAAGTTGGGCTTACTTTGAATAATATATATTCATTGCAATGTCAGGTAGATTAGCTGGTAAAGACTTTTAACAATTTGTCTTATGTTTGAATTCTGCCTCCGTCATTTACCCTTTGGCCTTAAAAAAAAAAAGTATATTCATCACAATCTTTGTTCCATTTCACCATTTTTCTTACTTTCTTGACAAACAAATGGTGATTTGTAACGGCATAGTGTTCATCACAGAAGATTATAGTCTGTGTTGTATATTATTTGATTGATTTTTGTTTGTTTGTTTGTTTGTTTTTGTGTAGCAAGAGAAACAGAAAGCAATGGTTAGTGAGATGGTGGGGAAGCTTACAAGCGTATGTTGGGATAAATGCATCACGGGCACCCCTGGCAGCAAGTTCAGCTCTAGCGAATCCACCTGCCTTACCAATTGTGCCCAACGATACATGGACATGAGCATGATGATCATGAAACGTTTCCAATCCATGCAGTAAATTGTGGTTTCACTGCTTTGTAATTTCTCCTTCCATCTTTCAGCAGCATCTAATTTTTGTTATGTGATGCTTAGACATCTGCTTTGTTCTTTCAGAAAATAAAACCCAGCTCAGACTTGTGTAAACCTTTATGCTCATCTTCCTAATTCTACATGATGTCTTATGTGATCGTTCTCCTGAGAACTCCTAGGACGAATCAGAAAATAAAACCTTGCTTCCATTCTATTGTTTTAATACTGCATGTGCGATGAACCAGGAAACAAAGCCCTGTCAGCATCACTCCAAATCAATGACAACCAGGAACTATTTTATCAATGATCCTCTGCATATAACCTTTGTGCCTCAATTTCTGCTCATCTCTGCTATCATTTTAAGTCTTGAATTTTGGTAATGCTTTAGATACGTCTCAAGTTTCTTTTTTCGATTTAATCTATTTTATCTTTCTGTTTATTTCTCTCTCTTTTTTTCTTTTGCATTTTTCCTGCAGTATTGTCATTTGGCCTCCGAGTAAAATAGTATTCTATAGAGGTGTCTCACTCTCCAAACCAAGTGCACCAAATGTGCAAGGATCAATTATTTTTGCAATAATAAAGTTAGTGATTCTTCCATAAAATCAAAAGAGAAATCGATCGATTACTAGCTGAAGTAGACTAATTCCTAAATGCAAAAAATGTATAAATAACCTAAAAAAATGGACTAATTTAGTCTAACTAAAGGCAGATGGTATTGGCAAGAAGCAGAATAGAAAGATGAAGCTGGGGGCATCATGATGCAGAATGGAGGGACAACTCAGATAATGAGACACAGCTACAGGAACAAAAAAGTTCATTGTCACTTTCCACCTTTAAACACAAAACTTGCTTTACAGGTTCATTATGGAAATTTTGTTGGTAGGAGTACAGAATAAGAAGCTAACAATTTTCCCCAATGTAACATAAATAACCCGACTGGACAAGCAATCCAGCTATTCAAAGATGATGCACATAGTTCTATTTCTTTGATTCAGATACATTTGCCTTCACAATTCTACAACAGATGCAGGAAGGTTTTAGAGTATAATCGAAACAGCCTGCCTACTCAAATTGGGATGGATAAAACCTTCCCACAAGTTATTCAGTCAGGATGAAGAAAAGGCAAAATACAACATGCAAAAATTTCTTGAACTTACAACAAGCACAAGAAATCCCGATACTCTCTTCAGTCATTACCCATCTTTACCGGATGCAGAGTGTGTTTTCTTTCACTTCCCATGAAAAAAGGAATTAGATAAGGAAAAATAAGCTAACTTGTTAACAGGTACTTGCTATAATTTGCCACTTCTCTTGTACAGGAAAAAAATGGGAAGAGAAGTGTTCAGCTTCAGCTATTAGCACTTGAAGCATTTCGTGAACTGGCTCGTGTTTTCCCCCGCCAATTCTCTCCCCACATCTTTGCCTCTGCCACAGCTCTCTCCCGATCAAAATCCTTTTTGAAGATCCCAGCCATCTCCCTTGGTGAGTCCTCTTTCTCTGATCCTTCTAGCTCGCGTTTTCGGCCAGAATCTCCCACTTCCTCATTCTTTGTAATCATTCCACTCCCTCCGCGGATTCTTCTTTCATCATGGTCACCCCCAGATCTGTTACTAGAGGCAGGCGAGGCATTCGGATCATAAGCTTTGTTTGCCAAGTAGGACAAAGCAGTGACGACATCTGCAATTCCAGGACGGCTAGCAGCTTGTTCTTGGATGCACATCGATGCTACAGCAAGTGCTTGGTAAAGCCCACGCATCGGAAATCGGCCTTGCAATCTAGGGTCGGCAAGCTTTGGGAGTTTTTTTCGGTCGTTGAACA